GTCAGTTCAAATAGTCTATCAAAAAAATTCAGTGACGTTGTCCTCGGACTCCCGATCAATGCTAAATACTTTAAAACAGAGTGTGTATCTTTTCAACAAAAAAAATAGACTAATAAAAGCAAGAACGATGTATTATTATTAAAACAATGGACTAATAAAAATAAGAATAACTTCTTATTATTAAAAATATGGATTTATATTAAATAATGTTCAAATTGTATGAATACGAGAGGGTTCCTCACGTAAATTTATAATGGAAAATCAAAGAAATGCATGGACTAACGGAAAAATTAGCGGAAAGACCAACTGTGCATCACTAATGTGATTTGAAGGATCATTCATGAACTTTATAAAGTTGAAGGACTAATCATACATAACGCAAAAACTTGAAGGACCAACGGTGGAATTTAGCCTTCCCAAAAATGAGAACGAAGAATTGAAGTTATGGTATTTGGTAATTTAATTTACATATAACATAATAAAACAAAAAAAAACATCGATACACTATTTTTGGCTCAAGGAATTTGGAAGGAAAAGAAAAGAAGATGGTTTTTCCTCATTTTCCGCACTAAAATGAAAGAAATTTAGTTTTCCCTTCTCTTTAATTTGTACATTTGCCTTTTTATTTTCTTTTCTTTCTACTTTTTTTTCTCTTTAACCAAACAAGAAAAATGTTTTACTTTTCATTTTCTTTTCCTTTCTTTCACAAAATCCTTAAACCAAACATAGTGATAATGTATAATATTTGTTGGGTCTATGGCTCCACCCGAATAGGATATGTTGACTAATGTAATAGGGTTGATAATTACTAACTCCATTCTAAAATTAACTTCTCAGTTTGATTTTTGTAGTCAAATTTTTTAAACTTTGACTGTAGATTACGGAAAAAAATATATTGAGTTTTCATATAAATTTATTATCAATAGATTCATTTTAAAACATAGTTTTGAAATATATTATTTTTATAATATATATTTATATAAAAATAGAAATATTAATAGTCAAAGTATTGCATTGGAAATCGTGAAAAGTTAAATGAGAAATTAACTTTATGATTTAGAAAGTAATTTTGAACGTCTAAAAAGTAAAAGTATCCATCCAGATGTAGACGTAATGAAGTGTATAATTAGTACTCCCTTCGTCCCAGAGTATTTGTCCACTTTCATTTTTATACACCATCCAATACACTTCTTTAATCCATTTTATCTTGTAATTTGTATATTAAAAAATTATAGAAATTATATATTAATAACCTATATGTTAAGACAAATCAAACAAGATCAGACATGACTATATTTAGGCTTACACGTTGAGAGAATTTGATGAGTCAAAGTGCTTAGATGAACAGTTCCAAAAGTCAAAAGTGGACGAATATAGGGGGACAGAGGGAGTAATTTCATTTAGAAAAGAATCTAATGATTTGAAGCTCACACTATATATAGTCCAATTCTATAAATTATTGACCGAAGAGATGAAAATTAAAAGCAGCTGTAATTTCACAAAATATTTCTACTTTTATTTTAACTAAAAAATACTCTCGCTTCTTCCCTTCCTAAAAGATTGTCACCGTTTAACTTATTTGGTCAAATTATGACACCCTTTGACCTTGAATTATTGAAAAAATATATTTAGTTATAATGTAAATTTAGTAAAACTAGGTTTATTTTAAAATGAAATTTTGAAATATCAATTTTCATAATATTTAATTATTTTAAACTATATTTAATTCGTGGTCAAAGAATAACACAGTTTGATATAAAAAAATCAAACCGTGACAATCCTTTAGGAAGAGACCACATCATATTTATATGTACTATCAGTACAAATTGAGAGTAATTAAAGCTTAAAGTTCATCCATCCATTTTAACTGGAAAAAATCAAACTGAAATAAATATTGTATACGAGCAGGTTTGCATTTGTGGTAGAATTCGCACTGGTAAAGCATTCACATGGGAAGGCGGAGAGTGAGGAATCCAATCCGTCGTGTCTGATAACTCACCCAAATGAGCTTTTGGTTGGAGGGATTGCATCCTTTTTTCACACTGCCTTCACCATTGTATTTTACTTTATCCTGCTCAAAGCTGCTCGCAAAGAATCTCTCCGAATTCAAACAAGCCATACGCCCGCGTAATTTTAATACACACACACACATACACACACACACACACACACACACACAAGAGAGAGAACAATTAAGGGCTGTTTGGCAACTTCTGAATATGATACTGGCTGGTATACGGAGTATTTTATTACATTAGGGTTTCCATTTTTGGTTGGGTGTATGTTAAAAACAAGTATAATTAAAGACTGTCTTTAATTTGAGTTAGATTTTGGAGTTAAATTCAGGAGAAATAATGAGTATATATTTCTTTTTAGGTTTTCAATTTTGTCCTTGATTGATGGGTAAAAGTAAGATGTTATTGATAGGTTATTGGTGAAAAGGCATTATGTGATAGGTGAGATAAAAACAAGTATGGGTAAACGTGATTTTTTAGTAGAACGTGGAAGTATTTTAGGGAAGCAAAAAATGAAAGAAGAAGTCTTTTATGAAACAGAGGGAGCGTAGAAAGACGACGTTTTTTAACACTAATAACTACAGAGTATATTATAATGTGGTATCTATTCATTTATTTTCAACTTATTAAGGACGTAGAGTTATAACCCTCGATCACCAGGATCGAACATGTGACTTCTCATATGAGAGAGTCACCATTACACCACTGGACCACAGAGTCTTTTGCTATAAAGATGGTCATTAATTTAGATACAATGCCCCTCTTCGATAAAACGTAAGCCGCATTTCAGAGCGTGAAACCATGATTATTTTACAAGTAATTCATGAAAAAGAAGGAGGTATTGGTGTTTATTTCCAATTTGAAATTTGTAAGGATCTTATAAAATTATTTTTGGTTTGACTATTACATATCATATTTTTTTATGATAGATATTATCCCTACATAAGAAATTAAAAATAAATAGTTTTGACTTTCAAAAAAAATAGTTTTGGAAAATGGGAATAAAATTTACATAGCAAAAAATTAATTTCAACTTACGAATATTGAAACATTAATACTCCCTTCGTCCCATAAAATCTTTCCTGTTTGAAAAAAGACACACCTTTAAAATGAGTAATTTTAGTGTTATTTTCTAATCATGATTCATCTATCCTACACGTATCATCCTACTCTATTATAAAATAAGGGAAAAAAAGAAAATAATACGAAAATTACTCATTTAAAGGATGTGCCTTTTTCAAAAAAGAAAGGGTTTTATGACACGAAAAGAGTAGAATTTATAATGTCAAAAACTTATGCATATTCTGTCGGAACCTGAGAACCAGGGGCGGAGGAGAGGGGGGGCTGACAGGGCAAGTGCCCCCCGGCGAGATTCCGGCGAAGTAGTGGTTACCGGCAATTCGAGTTATCCGGAAGGTGCCCTGCCAACTGCCAAGTCGAAGTCTGAAGAAGATGACGGATTGACGATTGACCAAGTGACTGTCCCCTGGCTTACTTTCGGTTTTTACTGTTCTTCGACACCTAGCCAGAAGTCAGATGAGGAATCTCCCATCGGCTATCCTTACTCCTTTTAGGTTACTAAGGTTAGTGAGGTTAAGGTGTTTTTTTGTTTTAATTTTTAAAATTATTCCGTCAATTTTACTTTGTGTTTGTTTAAACTTTTAAGGCTTTTAGATTTGTACCAAAAAATGCTTTTAGCTTGTGATTTGTGACTTTAATACATTATGTATTAAAAAAGTACTCTCTTTGTTTTCAAAAATACTTCCTCTTGAATTTTTTCAATTCCAACAAAATACTCTCACTTTATATTGAAAAACCATTTTTACCCTTACTTTTTCATACCCTACCTATCACATTATACTTTTTTTCTAATAATCTATACATCATATCTTACTTTTACCCATCACATAATTTAACACTTCCTTATTTTGGCTCCAAGTCAAAGTAGGAACTTTTTTGCAAATGGAGGAAGTATTATTTAATTTGTCTTCGTAGATACATAGTAATATGTATACTTCTTATTTATTTAATGATATAGTTTGTGTGTTATGTTTATCACATTGTGCCATTTGAGAAAGAAATTTTTATAAGCATCCAGTATGAAGTGATTCTGAATACAATTATATTTTTGATATTTTACTATTTCTTTAATCTTTTTTAGCAAATTTATTTAATTATAAATGTAAAATTTTAAAATAAAAATTATATTTTTAAAATAATATAAAAATTAAAAGCTAATAAGTATACATTAACTTATGAAAATAAGTAAAAATAAATAATTAAAATTTAACTATGTTAACAATAACTAGAAATAAAGTTTTAGGGCGTAGGAGTAAATTGCAAATACTTATTGATTTGTTTTTTAGAGATTATTATTAATCTATAAATCTATAGTATATCTAATTACTTTGATTGGAATTCAATTAATGATATTGTTATTTGATTAAGAATGATTCTATATACTTTTGAACAAATTCGTTACCCCGTAGATGACAAATGACCAAAATCTTATTCATGAAACAAAAGTTAGTACTCCTTATTTGGTATGATTAATAATAATGACATTTTATTGTTATATTTTTGCAAATTATTTTAATCTTTGAGATACAATTTATTATTGATTTATCAGTTTATATTGTAGTTAAAAATCGAGAACATTGCCTTGGACTCCCCCGACCCCGAGTGTGCCCCCCCATTAGTGACCTTCTGCCTCCGCCATTACTGAGAACCATTGGGCAAACTAATGAGAACAATCCTAACAAGCTCAAAAGTCAATATCACATAAATAATCCAAAACACCAGTCATAGGCCTTGTTTAAATGTTGGCTGTTGGCACTTGGCAGTTTGTGTCATCTATTATAAATGACTGTTTAATTTAGCTGGTTTGACCGGTAGCATTAGTTGGCTCATCGTTAATTTTTTCAATAGAATTATATATATATATATATATATATACTCCGTATATAAGGTGCGGTTTCCGTGAAAATGATGCTAGTCCATATATTCGGATGACGCGGATCAGAGTGTTTAAAGAGAGGAATGATTAGAGTGGAGGGGAAAAAATGAAACAAAAAAATAATGTGGCATTAAAAAATAATAATGTGAGGAAGAATAAAGAGGGAATTGTAATAGATCACATTGATTTCAAAAGGAAAGCAAAAGCACAATAACTGCGGTGGTTTCGATCTAATTATTCATGCATCAAACAAAAACGTAAGAATTGAAAGAGGAATTAATTATTAATTAAAACTAGATGGATGGGCGTGTAATTGTTAAATAATCTGATTGAATAAATTAAAAACTGCGGCAGTCGAAGTTGCAGGCGCCGTAGCTGGGGTCGGTGACGGCGATGACGGCGGAGCCGTTGAAGTCGCAGTTCCACTTGTTGGCGCCGGCGTTCTGGTAGTAGAGGTTCATGGCGAAGGCGGCGTGGTTGATGAGGCTGTTGGGGTAGTAGCAGCCGCCGGCTTCGGACTGGACGGCGGAGCAGTTGACCAGGTTGCAGGCGTAGCTCATGTTCTCTATCAGCTGCTGGTACGACGCCGACGGCTTTGGGATGCACCACGATTTCTGTTAGGTTGCACCATCATTTCACCACTCAACAAAAATAATTTGATTTCTTTAAACCATTTTAGTATTATCCTTATTCATTTCTATCAAATTTTTCGATCATAAATTATCAAATTTTGATCATAAATTAAATAAAAATGATATTAGATATTCATACAAAAATAGTTTTATTAAATTTAATAATACAAAAATAATTTAAATAAAAAAAATTGATTTAAACCAGACAAAAATAAATATTTGTTACTCAATCAAAATTAATAATTTTTGACCATAAATTAAATAAAAATAATATAATATATTGATACAAAAATACTTTATAAAAATATTTTTTGAAAATTATTTTATCTAACTAATATATCATATACTCCCTCCGTCCCGGAAAACATGGGAGTTTTGGTTTTGGAGAGAAATTTAAGGGAAGTGTATTTTGGTATTGAATTTCCAAAAATGTCCTTTGATGTGATGGGTAAAAGTATGATTTGATGAATAGATTATTAGTAAAAAGGTATGATGTGATAGGTAGGGTATGAAAAAAGTAAGGGGTAAAAGTAACTTTTTAATAGAAATGAGAAGTGTTTTTTGGGACGGATGAAAAAAAGAAAGGAGAAAGGTTTTGTGGGACGGAGGAAGTATATTTTATTTAATTGTAAGTTAAATATCAAATATAAAACTACAAATAGTAAAAATCGAACGAATAGTCAAGGAGAAATTGATAGTATATTAAATTTACACATTGCATATTAATATAATCAAATGAATTTCTGAAAGTTCACATGAGAAATCTAATGAAATTATTTTAATATGTACTAATTATGTCCAGTATATAATTCTTATTAAATTGATAATCAAAATACATCCAGGCCAATTAGATTAATAAAAGTTAAACTCGAAGAATACTACTTTGAAAATATTGAATTCAATTAAATTCTTGTAAAATAAAAATAATTAAATTAAATTCTTGCAAAATAAAATAAATTATACAGCTTAATTACTCACAACTTGTTTAGGGGTAGGAACTGGCACTTCTTCTTCCCTTCCAGAGTCTGCGCCGCACTTCACCTCTCCTATAATTGTTCGTCCATTTCCCAATCCTGCTGGCAATGCATTATTATTATTGCAACATAGAAAGATAATTTAGAAAAAAAATAAGTTTAATAATACTCCCTCCATCCATAAATAAAGTTCCCATTACGTGTTCCACTATTTGACTGAAGTTATTTTTTATTCATTTGATATGAAAAATGGTATGCAATTAAAAAAAATTACAAATTTACAAATTATATGAAAAGTTTGATATATTATTTTATCAAATAAAACACAAGAAAATGTCAACAAAACGAATAAAATTTAACCATATGAATAGTAAATGTAAACTTTATTGTTGGACCTGAAGCTGAGAATAGAACAAGCAAAGCCAAACACAGAATTGGGATTGAAAAGAATGTGTGAGCCATGGATATGATGTAATTAAAGATTTTACTTAGGACGATATGATATGGATTAATAATAATTACTCAAAGGTAATTTTTTGCTATTTTTTTAACTTCATGTGCTGGGTTAGATTGGAGAATTAGGCACTGGATTATATATATATATATATATATATATATATATATATATATATATATATATATATATATATATATATATATATATATATATATATATATATATATATATAGTGTTACGTAGCAGCATGAGTTATGGAAGACGAGGAGGTGGTGCATGATGCATGTTAATTAGTGGATATAAATGAGAGTAATTAATTACGTAGTAATTAATTGATTAATCACTATTGCTTTATAATTGAGAATTGATTTTGCAATTACTATATCATTCTTCATATTTTGTAACCTATACACGAGTTTATGATAAATTAATCGACGATATCAACAATTACATTATGGTTCTCGGCTGTCCGCTGTTGGTTATTTATATCGGCTTTTCGAATTTTGGCATTTCGAATCAAAAAGCCAAGTAAAAAAGTCATTAACCAAACAATGGTGTTGACTTGTTTTAATTTCTCTTATTTCTATTTTTTTCTATCTCTAACCAAACAAACAGATATTCGTGTCTATTTTTCAAATCATATGAGCACATGAGCCCATTTCTTGTTCATTTTTTCTCTTTTTTCTCCTTTTTTGGTTTCTTTTTTTTCTTCTCTTTGCTTCTTTTTTTCATAAATATTTTCTAAATCTCTTTTTAAAATTGTTTTTATAATACTTTATAAAATAAAAATTAATTTTACTTATAATAAAAAAAGAATGAATAAGGAATAGTAATTGTTTGAATACTATTTTTCTAATAAACATCCTATTTTTTGTTTCCAAAACAAAAAATATATTTTTTTTGTTACGTTAAAAAAAATTAGGAATAGTGAAAGGAAATAAAATAAAAAAATATAAAAGGAATATGTAGTATATATTAATTTTTTATTTCATTTAATTTTTAATTTAAAACAAATATAATTTTGAATTTAAAAATATTATAAAAAAAGAAATTTAAAACATTGTGAAAAAGAAAACAAAAAAAGGAAAAAAATAAAACAAATTAAGTTGCGAGGAGAACATCGGCATCGTCCGTCCCGCTCCTCCGAGACCGGGCGCATTCCTCGTAAACTCCGATAAACTTTCGGACTTTACGGTTGATGTGGCTCCATTTGGAAGTGAGTTGGTCCCGAGTACGGTAGGAGCCGTCCTTGTTCATCGCCGTGAAAAACTTCTCCTCGATACGATCCCACATCGCATCCTTCGTTTGCTCCGAACCTTTAAAAAAGTATAACACGAAATTTTTTTTATGACACGATTAAATATAATTTTATATAAATAAAAACATAAATATATTAGAAAACATATAATTTTTACCAACGATAGGATGCTTGGAGACGTCAACCCAAGCTGACGCCAATAAGCACTCTTCCTCCGGCGTCCACTTTTGGATTGACCGTGCCGCCTCGGTCATCAAGCCTTTTGCTTTGTGGCTTTTCCGGCATGCACTTTTTTTGGAGCCGGATGGTCCCGGTTGAGTCTCCGGAACTGAATCTCGCTCGACGTACCCCGATTGTTGCGTCTCTAACATCGGCAGATGATTTCCGTATTGTTGGAAATACCACATCGCGGACTCGTGAGGCTCGAGATCATCGGGGAAGAAGCCGAAAGGATTCATGTTCAAAAGAGAGTTGTGGAGAATTGAAGAATGTGAAGAAGATTGAAGGTGTGAGAATGGGAGGGGGGAGTTTGAAATTTAAAAAAAAAATAATTTAATTTTTCTTTTTTTTGTTTCAAACGGCTATTATAGTCGTTAGGGAGGGGGAGACCGCGTCATTCCTTTGACGCGTGCTGGGTGACGCCGGGATGAAGCCGCAGGGGGGCGGTGTTTAACGCCCCCCGGGCGTGAAAAGTTCCGTAATGCCGGTCGGCGTTAGAAGTATTACCAGTGCTCTTAAGTTATACTCCCTCCTCCGTCCTTTAAAGTTGTTCCCTTATTCACTTTTTGGGAAATTAAGGGAAGAATATTTTGGTGTTGACTTTCCAAAAATATCCTTGAAGTTATACTTATATCCTTATGAGGGGAATAAGTATTTGTTTACCACCTTAATGTGTATGTCTACATAAAATTATGTAGACCTTAGGTCTACAATAACATTTACCAATTTAACTATAGGCTGCATTGAATTGTGTAGGTAAAGGAGATTGTAGGCGGAAGAGTCACGATTCGTTGAACATAGTTCAACTCATTCGAAATGAATCCGGTTGAACAGGTTAAATTCATGTTGTTCGTCGAGGGCCAAACGTACTATTCTCTCGTTCTCTAGCTCATTACATATTTCATTTCAAATGAGTTGAACGTAATTAGACGAATCGTGAAACTAAGCTACGGAGAGAGCGACTTCGTTCTTGTTCTACATGCCAAGGTATAGTTTCCAATCCCAACTATGGTGCACGTAAGCTTCGAAAAAGCTAGACAAAGCCTGTGGTTATTAAACCTTCAAGCGTTCTAAAAGTGCATTTTCGCCCATGATAATACTTCCTCCAAGTTTTGAGGAGGTCATCTGACGGTAGCTTTTGCATTTTCAAAATTAATCTACAATATTAAGATTTTATCCAAAAAGTTAACACTAATCGAAAGCAATGTTCCCAAACAAGGGCAAAATGAAAATAAAATAATTTAACAAATTAATAAAGGGCGTTGCTAAATTCACTCCCCTTTGGACTAAATTCACCCCTTTTATGATAAATAGACAATTTTGCCCTCAAATGTTGACTTGCATCTAACTTTTCTCTCGTGTTTTTTAAGAGTAAAATTGGCAATTTAACATAAATGAAGTGGATTTAGCAACATACATTGATAAAATGAAATTTTTTTAAAAAAAAACTTCTAATAATACTCCGTAATAATTACTGAGTAATTGTTTATTCCGCATATGAGAAGGCCCGGAATTTTTCTATCATTAACCTTCTCACTTAAACAAATTAATAAATAAAAAATGAATAAATACTCTGTATTAATATATAATAGGGAGTCATTTATTTCATATATATAGACTCTACCCAATTTTACCCATAAAAGAATTTACCCAATTTTAAGTCTGCAGAGTATATAAGAACTTACCTTGTGGCCATCCAACTTGCACCAGAACTTTGGATTTTTCCTATTATTATTTGCACTGTGCTAAAACCGCGTTTGGGGCATTATTAAACCCAACCCATCCTTCATTTGAATCATTTCCCACTTCATTTACTCTTATCCTTAAGTGCTTGTTTCTGTCTCCCCCACCAAAATCCAATTGAAGTCAACTTCCTAACAATGTCTGGTTCATATTAGCAAAGACTACATTGCCCCCCCCCCCCCTTAGGTAAGCCCCCTTGCAGAGAGGCCTTTGGTCTTTCCCCCACACTAACTCAAAAAAAACCAACTTTTTTATATCAAGAATTTGAGCTACTCCTCAAGGTTGACCAGCCCCGGTCTCTCCAAGAGGGTGCATATATAAACTGACATAAGATTCTATGAGAGAGAGAGGAGGGAAAAAATGTTACTTGTACTAGCCATAGTATCTTGTTCCTTGCTTGCAACAATGGTTGTTTCAGCAGAAGCAAGCAGCCTGGGAGTTGAAGTGGAGGCCATGAAAGCTTTCAAGAACTCGATTCTTGAAGACCCTTTGGGGATTCTTGAAGCAGGGCACCACTGCAACTGGACTGGAGTTGTCTGCGATCCTTCCTCGGGGCATGTCACCAACATTTCCCTAGTTGACGCGAGGCTTGTGGGACGAATCTCTCCCTTCATTGGAAACCTTTCCAGGCTCCAGGTTCTTGATCTAACCCTGAATTCCTTCACGGGAGAAATCCCGTCTCGGTTGGGGCTTTGTTCGGACCTCTCCCAGCTCATTCTCTACCAAAACCATCTCTCTGGAGACATTCCTTCTGAGCTAGGGAGCCTTTGGAACCTGCAGATTCTTGATTTCGGGAACAATTTTCTGGAAGGAGCCATACCCTATAGCTTATTCAATTGCACTTCAATGTTACAGATGAGCCTGGCATTCAATAACTTGACAGGAAAGATACCCAAAAACATTGGTGATTTAGTTGATCTCCAGCTCTTTGTGGCCTATGGGAACAGTTTGGTTGGACCCATACCTGAATCCATCGGCAGGTTGGAAAATTTGCAGGCTTTTGATCTTAGCCAGAACCGATTATCTGGTCCTATACCACCACATGTAGGTAACATGTCTAGTTTACAAATTCTTCAATTGCATTTCAATTCCCTTTCTGGCAAAATCCCATCTGAGATTGGTTTCTGTGGGAATCTCTCCACGTTGAACTTGAACAGCAATCAGTTCACGGGCAGAATTCCTCCCGAGATTGGAAACTTAGAGAGTTTGGAGATTCTAAGGTTGTACAGCAATCAACTGACCTCCACAATTCCTGGAACATTGTTTCAGTTGAAACTATTGACTCGTTTGGGGCTATCCCAGAATGAGTTGTCTGGTGCCATTCCTTCTGCTTTGGGGTCCTTACCATCACTCCAAGTTCTTACCCTCCACTCCAATAGGTTCACTGGCCATATTCCCTCATCCATAACAAACTTGACAACCTTAACATATCTCTCCCTCGGGTTCAATTCGTTTTCAGGACCAATCCCATCAAATATAGGATTGCTGAACAATTTGCTTAACCTCACCATGAACGATAACCTCTTGGAAGGACCAGTCCCTCCAAGTATCGTCAATTGTACGAGTCTACTCGTCATGGTTCTCACCAATAACCGAATCTCGGGGAACATTCCGGAAGGGTTGGGACAAATACGGAATCTCACCTACCTGTCATTGGGGGGGAATGAGCTGTCGGGGGAAATGCCAGACGACCTCTTCAACTGCTCCATGCTTCAGGTGTTGGACTTGAGTCAGAATAACTTCAATGGGAAGATGAAACCAATCATTGGTGGACTATCCCACCTGCGAATACTAAGGGCACGCGATGACTCATTCGTAGGGGATATCCCCAGAGAGATTGGAAACTTGACCAATTTGATGGATTTAGTGTTGCATGGGAATAGATTTTCAGGCCTCATCCCTACTGAGCTCTCAGAGCTTGCAAACCTTCAAGGGCTTACATTGTTCAACAATGAGTTGGAAGGGTTTATCCCTAAGAAGCTCTTTGATCTTAAACAACTCACAGATCTTCATCTGCAGAACAACAGATTGATCGGCCCGATTCCAGAGTCTATTTGGAAGGCTGAGTCGATGTCTCAGCTTGATCTCAGTGGGAACATGTTAAACGGGACAATCCCGGAAAAGATGTCAACTCTTAGCAGGTTAGTGGTGTTGGATTTGTCACACAACAATCTCACCGGACATCTTCGTCCATCGTTACTTTCCGCCATGAAAAGCCTGCAACTTTACCTGAACCTCTCTCACAATTTCATGGAAGGGATGATTCCGGACGACATTGGGAGCCTGGAAATGGTGCAAGAAATAGACTTGTCGAACAACCATTTCTCAGGACGCATTCCCAGACCACTGAAGAACTGCAGAAACCTAAGATCTCTTGACATTTCCAGAAACAACCTATCCGGCCAAATTCCACCAGACGTTTTCACTCAGTTTAGCGAGATCGTGAGCCTGAACCTTTCGCATAACCATCTAAACAGCCAAATTCCCCAGAGTCTGGCAAGAATTCCGCATCTCCGTTCACTAGACCTTTCTCACAACAATCTCAATGGCACCATTCCTGAAACCCTTGCCAATATCCACACCTTAAAGAACCTCAACCTCTCATTCAACCAGCTCGAAGGTCAAATCCCAGAAAAGGGTCTGTTTGCAACAATTAGCCCCTCAGATCTGGATGGAAATCCCTCTCTCTGTGGAAAACAGCTACTCAAGCATTGCAATCGTCCAAACCATAGAAAATTTTCAAGAAAATTCATAACCATCATCGCAGTCGCTTCCGTTTCAGCTCTCATCCTCCTGTCACTAGTGATCTATCTACTCCATCCGCTAATCAAGAAACAAAAACAGAAAGACGGAGAAAGCACGAGCCCAGAATTTACCCCGACATTGAGAATCAAGAGATTTACGAGACATGATTTAGAAAGAGCTACCAATTCCTTCAGCCCAGAAAACATCATAGGAACCAGCAGCTTGAGCACAGTGTACAAAGGCGCGCTTGAGAATGGACAGATGGTGGCAATCAAGAAACTGAACGTGAAGCAATCGCCTTCGGAATCGGAGAAATGCTTCTACAGGGAAGTCAATGTCCTGACCCGACTGAGACACAGGAATCTGGTTAGGGTTTTCGGGTACGCCTGGGAGAGCAAGGGGACGAAAGCGCTGGTTCTGGAGTACATGGAGAAGGGGAATCTGGAGAGGATCATACACAGTCCGGACCCAGAAACTCCTCCGGCGACATTGTCGGAGAGATTTGAGGTTCTGGCGTCGGTCGCGAGCGGGTTGGCGTACCTGCATTCCGGCTACGATTTCCCCATTGTTCACTCGGATCTGAAGCCCTCAAATATTCTCCTCGACAGCGACTTCCATGTCCGGATAAGCGATTTCGGGACGGCTCGAATGCTCGGTATCCAAGAAACCGGCGCTTCATCAGCTTCTTTTCAAGGAACGATTGGGTACATGGCACCAGGTATTTTAAAATCTTTGAACTCAAATTGAGGCGAAAATCTTGGGTAATTACATATGAAACCATTTGAAATCTTGGGTATGTATATATATATATATACAATCATGTGCATTGTGCAGAGTTTGCATATATGAGGAAAGTGACAACAAAAGTGGATATATTCAGCTTCGGAATAATCGCCATGGAGCTGATGACAAAGAGAAGGCCAACTGCAGGAGAAGATCATCATCATCTTCATCTGCCAATCACACTGCCAGAACTCGTGCAGAAAGGGCTTGAAGATGATAATGGCAGCAAGAAGGGGTTATTTGAGATCCTTGATCCATTTTTGGCTGCAAATGCTTCCAAGAGCGTTGATGCCATTGAAGGAATTCTGGGTTTGGCTCTGTCATGCGCTTGTACGGATCCAGAAGCTCGCCCCGGCATGGAACAAGTTTTGACAACCCTATCAAGGCTAAGGAAGATGACTTGATTTTTTAAGGTCCGGGAGTTTTTTTAAAGGTACCCAAGTGTGCCAACACAAACACACAGACACAAAATGTCCGTGCAACACAGATACTTTGGGTCTGTGTGGGTCTGTGTTGGCTTTGGTGTACACTTGGGGTACCCCATGTTAGTGTACCCCTAGCTTAATTCTTTTTTAAAACATGTATTAAACCATCATTATTGATAAATGTCAGTCAAAGATGTTCAAGTGACAAATGTCTTGATTTCATATTTTTGAAGGAGAAAAAATTAAAGGTAAGGTCACAAATAGCATTTTAAAAAAAATTCTTTTTGTAGTATGTTTGTCAAATTTGATTTTTTGAAGTTAAACTGTTTGAACTTTGATAGTTAGTTAAATAAATACTTTAGTAGTTTACTGTATATTAGTACTCCGTAATATTGTTTGATTGAAATTCATGCAAAAGACAGAAAGAAATGATGTAAATCACATAAAGTGAAATCTTATTTTAGAATGGAAAGAGTAATTCATCCTTGTTAACTACTCTTATTACTTAGAATAATTGAATTCTATAATATCACACAATTTAAAATCTTAATCATAAAATTATTGTAATTGAAAAGGAAAGTAGGATACATAAATAAACAAAATAAAACATTAAATTATACTCTCCACCACAATAGTTGTGAGCAACTATTCCATGATCATACATTGTTTTGTAGTCTAGTTGGCGGACTTCAATACCTCACAACTACTCGTCCTAATATTCAATTTGTCGTGCGATGGTGTTTAACATCACCGACTATTCTTCTCACACGAATATCAGAGTAATTATGTAAATAATACGGAGTATTTAATAAGAGACAATAGTATTGAACTCAAAAATTTGAAGAAAATAGCTCTTCTTTATTCAATTCAAAATCCTTATGAAGATAATTATAACATGCATCTAAGCTTCATAATCTTATTTGGGTGGTGATAGCCACGCCCCACCAAAATACTAAATTCACCCCACATAGTAATTTCATCACCTGTTACTTTCTAATTTATTTTAAATCTTGTGCTTCATACAAATTGTTACATATTCTAAATTTTTTACTATGTAAAATATTGCTAAAATTATATTCTTAATTAAGTATTTAGTTTTTTATTTAATTTTATAATAAATATTAGTACGAATTATCTAAATCTTTTTTATTAAAAGATGTTATATATTTTTTTAAATAAAATTTGTTGTGTTAATGATGCACTACACACTTATTAAAGAAAAATGGGGTGTAGTTTTAAATTTTATATAAAGCTTTATATATTTTTAGAAAACAATCAAACATACATAATCTTCTTTTTTTAAAAAAAATGTATTAAAAAAATTAAAATAGGGAAATACATATTGGTATAATACTTAGAAATGAAAAGTTTATAGAAAGTTATTGGTCATTATTATTAAGAATAATGAGAATTATTTTATTTTGAAAAAATTAATAATTAAAATAATAGCTTCAAAATATTTTAAAGTGAATTTTAAAACTCATATAATTTTTTTCGAGACGTAACAAAATAAATAAGCGGTTGATAGTTCTGAAGACATATTTATAATGTTTGTTTTAGTTTGAAAAGGTCAATATAATTTTTTTTAAATAATAACATAACTATACATCATGGGGGGTGTATTTAGTTAACGTGATCATGGGGTGTATTTAGTTAACGTGGTGTATTTTGTGTTTTAGGCTCTGTTCCGTATGCCTGATCTCATTGAATCTGATCGGAATTTTTGAAGTTCTGATCTGATCTGATGAGATCTGATCTGATTCGATCTGATCTGATCTGATCAGATCTGATCTGATCTGATTAGATCTGATCTGATTGGGTGTGATCTGATCTGATTGGGTCTGATCTGATCTGAATGGATCTGATCTGATCTGATTAAATCTGATCTGATCTGATAGGATCTGATGTGATCTGATTGAATCTGATTTTCTCTAATTAGATCTAGTGTAAATGAATTTACATTTGATTTAAGTTAAACTTAAAGTTATTACAAAATTTAATAGTTTTAAAGTATTACAATTTATATATACATAAAAAAAGTATAATAAGAAAATCAGCTAATTATTGATATGTTTAAACTTTTTTTAAAATATTAAACATCTTTTCAATATCACAACTTTTTAATTTTTGTGAAAACTAAACAATCGGTATTAAAATAACCAAATTTTAGAAAATATTGATGCTATTCTACAAAAATATAACATTCTATATACATATTACATAATACGGAGTAATATATTTCATGTTACAAATTAAAGACTATATAAAATTTTAAACACTAATATCCCTTTCACCTCTATCAATTTTGTCATAAACTCACCCTTGTGTATATTATACCATCTTAAAGTTTAAAAGCAAGTCTTTTTAAGTATAAAATATTTATAGTTTTGAAAACTAAGTTTTGTATAATTATTTTATAAAAAAGTATTTTAAAATAACTCTTTTTAAAGTATGAAAAATAAAATTTTTTAAGTTTTAACATTGCTTCCATGCATCATTTCTGTCCTATAAGCTAAACAATTATTAAAAATAATGGTTTGTAGTTGAAATATAATAATAATAATAATAATAATAATAATAATAATAATAATAATAATAATAATAATAATAATAATAATAATAATAATATAACAACAATAATATTTAAAATTATAATATTAATTAAGATTTAGGTGTGTGTAGTTTTAAATAAAGTAATGTGATTTAATCAAATAATAGTAATTATTATTTAATCCTTGAAAAATATAAATATTATCTTTTATATTTTTTCTTGATTTGATATTATTGGATTTGATTGAAAAATATAAATATTATCTTTGATCTGATTGGATCTGGTCTGATCTGATTGAATCTGGTCTGATCTGATTGGATCTGATCTGATTGAGTCTGATCTGATCTGATTGAATCTGATCTGATCTGATTAGGTCTGATCTGATCTGATTAGGTCTGGTCTGGTCTGATCTGATTTTGATAAGAATAAGTAATAAGTAGAAAAAATAAGTCATACGGAACGGACCCTTAGTAGATGTCGCTATCACTACCCATCTTATTAGGCTTTACTTACAAAATTTAGGGGAATCTCTTTTACTCTCCCAAATAATTAATTTCAATTCTATTTTACCCGGCCCATTGAACTTATCATTTGGTCTGGTTGGGATCGTTCATCATTCGCCTGCAAATTACTTCTCGGGCATGAGCCTTGATGTCGAGTTGAGTGAATACGTACAAATAAACAGAAATTTTAATAAATTTTAAATATTTCATCCATCTTAAAACTTTCTTCACAGTTACTAATCACACAATCAAGTTTTAATCACTTTTCTTACCTAAGTTTGTTAGTTACGTTATTTGATAAAATAATAATCATATAACCACTTGTTTTGAAAACCTTTTGATATAGTTTTTAAAAATATAAATTTTATTTTTAATTTACATCTACAATCAAATAATTTGAATTGAAAAATAAAGTCAGCCAAACCTCGTAAATCGAAACGAGAAAAAAGTTCTAGACTGAGGGAATAGTAAACTATAGTATATAGAAAGTATTAAAATAGGAGTTATATGTTTTTATTCTCTAAATAGCAGTTCGCGTTGTGATAATGTGGCACTACACATGACCATTTTATTATAGTTTTTGGTAATACACACAATCATGTTTGATAATATAATGTAAATACATTTTAACTCTTATTTTGAAAATACAAAATTGTAACTCCAATTTGATATATTTTCAATGTTCTACTCCTATTCTAATATTTTTCCCTGATTATTTCAAAAGAAATTTTTTTAGATAGAAGTAAAAAAGTATGAAAATACCAAAATGCAAGTCAGAAGTTTTTTAAGCCTAAAGTATGAGTATAATGACATTGTAGTATAAGAGTTTGCATTGGAAGCGTGATAAAAAAGTGATGACGAAGTAAAATATCAGCATGATAAGTCAATATTGGCGATCTGCAGCGGCACTCAAGTTGATGACGGCGACAGAAGGTAATGTGGCGGTGGTGATGTGACAGTTAAAATGTGACAATGCGATGAGTGTGACAGTATAACAATGATACTTTGAACTCTTATTTTGGTCTTAAAAACATATGTTCCTATTTTAGTATTTCCATTGGTTTCTATTCTTATCTAGGTCGGAAGTTCTCTCTTATGTCAATGGCAATTCAAATTATTTTTAATAATATAATGTTTTATTTTACTTGAATCATGTAATAGATCATTTTTTCAAAGGCATGACATTTTAGAACTTTTCAGTGCCAAACATTAGAATAGATAGGAGTGATCCTATTTATTAAAAAAATATGTTTAAGTCCCACTTGCGTAAATTAATCTATTTTTATATATCTATGTCCCAAATTAGTACTCACAATTTGACTTTTTACAAAATTAAAAAAAATGAAATTGTGTGGTTAAGAATGATAAAAAGGAAATAGAACAAAGTCCGAGTTTATTTTATTTTTCAAATAAATACATTTGAAAAACGAATTTTATTTTATCTCATGATTCTTTGTTCATTTTTTATTCGGTGACCGAAGAAATATATACCTTCCAAAGATGTGGACCTTTAGCCTTTCTAGTAAAAATTATTTTTTTATTTTTTTAATAAAAATAAAAATATTCAGTTCAACATTTTACAAACACTTGTCAACCTCATATGAGAGTGCAGTATAGACCTTAGACTCACGATAGAATTTATTTTTTAAAAAATGTACTCGATAAAATGTTGATTTGAAAGCAATTAGTCACCAAATCCTTTTATATTTTTATCAATTTTTGTGCTATCTGTATTATTTTAACTGGAGTATGTTGAAAATAATCTCTCTACTTAAGAGTACACACACCTCTTTCAAATTTTACTTTTGTTGGATCTAATTGGGCTATTGTTGTTTACTCCCTCCACATCTTTTTAAATGTCCAATTCATTTTTACTCTAATGTTTGACCTATATTATCTCTTAAAATATATAAGTAAAACATTATTAATAATAATACACTAAAGATAATTTTTTTCAATGCAAATAGATTTGGATACGAAGTATTTTTTATGTTTTAATTCATTATGGCCCCGTTTGGTACATGGAATTCAAACTATGAAATTGGAATTGGGGACTTCAATTCCAATTTTAGTATTTGGTAGCACAAAAATTATGTAGATTTAGAATTGATAGTGCAAAAAATGAATTGAAATTTACAGAATTCAATTTTATGGAATTGAATCCCATGAAATTACAATTCCAATTCAATTCCAATTCCACCAATTCCTTATACCAAACGGACCCTATATATTTTTTATATATAATTATTGAATGTTTGACAAATAAAATGAAAATGGGACTAGGAGTATTGTCACAAAATCCACATATTGCCTTCTTGGCAAATTCATGGTGGGAAGATAGAGCACAATCCAAATGAACACGTGGCAAAAGATGATTGGATATCCCATGTGGGCACTCTATCTTTGCTAGATTTCTCTTCTCTTATCCGAGAAATTTGTGGCGATAGAATTTGCCAAATGGACTTCCATTTTCAACCTCCCAAAAGCCACTTAGCCAATAGAATTAGAGATTATGATCCTCAAAGATAAGGGTTTTTCCCATTTATATAGCTGGAGGGCTCCCCATGAAACGCAGACCACAAACTTTCTAAATCCCAATTTAACCCCCCAAGGTTTCCTTCTTATTTCCGAAATGGCCATGGCTCTCTCTTCCTCCTCCTTCGCCGGGCGGGCGGTGAAGGCCCCCTCGCCCGCCGCGGCAGCCGCCCGCGTCGCCCCCAAGATCACCATGAGGAGGACCACTTCGAAGTCCTTCTCCAGATCTGCCCCCTCCGGCAGCCCCTGGTACGGGCCGGACCGGGTCAAGTACCTGGGCCCGTTCTCCGGCGAGGCTCCCAGCTATCTCACCGGCGAGTTCCCCGGCGATTACGGATGGGACACCGCCGGACTCTCCGCCGATCCGGAGACCTTCGCGAGGAACAGGGAGCTGGAGGTGATCCATGCCCGGTGGGCCATGCTGGGCGCTCTGGGTTGCATCTTCCCGGAGCTCCTTTCCCGGAACGGCGTGAAGTTCGGCGAGGCGGTCTGGTTCAAGGCCGGAGCTCAGATCTTCAGCGAGGGAGGCCTGGATTACCTGGGGAACCCGAGCCTGATCCACGCACAGAGCATCTTAGCGATCTGGGCAGTCCAGGTGATCCTGATGGGCGCGGTGGAGGGGTACCGGGTCGCCGGCGGGCCGCTCGGCGAGGTCAACGACCCGCTCTACCCGGGCGGGAGCTTCGACCCGTTGGGCCTGGCGGAAGACCCGGAGGCGTTCGCGGAGCTGAAGGTGAAGGAGATCAAGAATGGGAGGCTGGCGATGTTCTCCATGTTCGGGTTCTTCGTTCAGGCCATCGTCACCGGAAAAGGGCCGCTGGAGAATCTCTCCGACCATCTCGCCGATCCGGTGAACAATAACGCCTGGGCATTTGCCACTAACTTTGTTCCTGGGAATTGAATCAGAGCTGATGAAATGTACTTTCATTTTCTCCTAATGTTTTTTTCTTAGCTCTATGTGTAACAATTTCGTGAATTGCTTTTTAAATATTTGTGAATTTCTATGTCATGCCTTTTATTTTAAAATTGATGAGATTCCCTTCAAAACTCTAAAAAATGAGTTTTTAATTTTACGAATTTTGAATTATAAAAATATTCAATTGTACTTTTATGTTACTCTATATGTGAATTATAAAATTGATGATTCTTGTCTTCTAATCCCTCGGTCAACCCCTTCGTCAAGTCCTGATCCAAATTAATCACCACACCTACAGTCAATTGCACCTCGTAAATATAAAGTCAAAATTTTTTACTTTAAAGTAAATTATACTTACGAGGTGCAATTGACGTGGATGTGATGATTAGTTTGGGTCGGGACTTGGCGGGGGGTTTTTACGAGAGGTAGGAATCAACGAAGCTCTGTAGGAGAGCAGTGACTTCTGTGGACTTAGCACATGGAGATGGAGAGGCTTAATCTTACAATAATCTACCCTTATATAATATCACTAAAATAAAATTAATTTTTTTAAATATTTAACTTCTGCAAATAATATACTAAACTAATGTTACTACTCGCGCAATATCACATAAAAAATGACTAAAATAAAAAATCATGATGAATGTGTTTAAAAAGACACTCGTATGATTTAAAAATGGAAAAAGTAAATGTATTTTTGAAAATAAAAAATTATACCTACAACTTATTTAATTCAATTGATAAGTTAATAAAACTTAATAAGGTTACTGATTAAAGCTATTAACTTAAACGGAGTATTAAGTTTGTTAAACAAATTATACGTACTATTAACTTGAAATAGTTAACTATGAGGTACTATGGAATTGGGTAAATGAAAATGTAATAATATTGAATTATTTTATTAAAATAAAAATAGCCACCGAGTTGGTATGCTCGGTAAAACCATTGACCCGTTTGCCAGTTTTATTTGGTACCAAGGGAAGAGGGGTGGTTTTACCCTATTTGCCAAATTGCCACATAAGCCAATTTTAGTGCCAAATATGGTTTGCTACACTCATACCGTGCACCGTAATACTCTAATACAAGTAAGTCTCTCTTAATTTATATTGTCTGTTTTGGTTTACGATGTTTGACTGAAATTATTTTTAAATCATTTTATATGAAAAAATGGTATAGAATTAAAAAATAAAAATTACATATGAAAATATTACATTAAAAGATCTACAAAACTAGTTATGACATGACTAATTTGTTTTATCAAATAACTACCGGAAAAAGAGAAAGAATATGAATGAAGTTTAACCCGGTAAATAGTAAACATGTAATTTAATTTGGGATGGAGAGAATAATATTTAATTATTTTAGTGGAGTGACATGATTGTTATTCTCTCAAATGAAAGGTCACAAGTTCAAAAGGAAAAGAAATAGCAATGAAATAAATGACAAGAAAAATAGTTTCTCCTTGTTTGGTAAAAGAGGAAAAGAAAAGGAAAAACAATGGCAAGTAAAGAATAAAATTAAAAAAAAAGAAAACTAAGTTTCTCTCATTTTGGTGAAGAGGGGAGTACCTTACGGCCAGGTAAAAAAAGTAAAAAAAAGAGATTGACCTCGTGCAAAGTTCACGTGTTTGCCCGTTTAGTTGCAGAGTATTCATGCTTTAAAATTAGTACTCCCTCCGTCCCAGAGTATTTGTCCACTTTTATTTTTACACACCATCCAATACATTTCTTTAATCCATTTTATCTTGTAATTTGTATATTAAAAAATTATAGAAATTATATAATAATAATAATCTATATGTTAAGACAAATCAAACAAGATCACACATGACTAGGTTTAGGCTTACACATTGAGAGAATTTGATGAGTCAAAGTGTTTAGATGAACAGTTCCAAAAGTCAAAACTGGACGAATACTTCGGGACGGAGGAAGTACTAAATTTGACTTTTTGTAACCCCTTATATAACCATTTGAATATTAAAATATAAATTTATGCTAGATTTAAAAATATCAAGTAATTAGAATAATGAATGTCTAATAATATTAGGTAATAAAATTTGGAGGAGCGGGTGCACAGTTCTGCACACCTTACACACCCTCCGGACGGTCCATGATGCACCGGGACCAGCAACCGAGTCTACTCGTCTAGAACTCGGAGTTCTCCATTTCTTCTCGAAAGTCCGCTCCGGTCTCTTTTGCAGTTTTCTCGAAACAGAAATGTTGGTTTTATTTTGTTCTTTCATTTCGCGAGTTTCCATTTTGAAAAATTTTTGCATGAATTTTATTCAACTTTTACGTAGAAAATGGATAAAGCCTAAAGGCTGGCTGGATGGGCGTATATTTAATTATAATGTAAATTTAGTGGAATGGGATTTATTTTAAAATATAGTTTTGAAATATCAAATTTTTATACTCCGTAATATTTAATTATTTGAAACTATATTTAATTCGTGATTACTTGAGTCTAACCATTACACACTAAGGGACTGTTTGTTTCAGCCTCTTAATGGTTCAGATGTCTGAATGATTCAACACTTAATTATTCAGACTGTTTGTTTCGTGAGCAGATGTCTAAATAGTTCAGACATTTACCTCTGAATGGTTAAGTATTATACAAAGTCTGAATGGTTAAAACCTCTTATCTGAATTGATCAGACATTTGCCTCTGAATAGTTAAGCAATATACTAGCTCTTAATGGTTCAGACCTCCTACTGGTTCAGCATTTAATGGTTCAGACCTCTTACTGGTTCAGCACTTACCTATTCAGGAGTTGCCAAACAACTCCTAAGTCTACCTAGGCAAGATGAATCGCTGCTAGGAATAGTAAGAATTGAAATCATACATCATGTAGTCCCTGTTTGGCAGCAAATTCAGGGATTATCTTTAGCATTTTTAACTTTTAAAAAAAATGTTTTAACATTTTTAAAAAACGCGAACTGAAATCATAGAAAGCCGTATTGCAGTTGTCAATCTTCTGTGAGTGTGTCTGTGTGTACTTGGTGACACTACATATAACAATACATACATGAATGCAAAGGCTACAAGAATGAGAGTATTTACATCTAACCCGAAACTCACATGTGAGAAGAATGAAAGAATCTCAAGAACGTGTTGAAGCGGCTCTTGCCTTAGCCGCAGCCTTCTGGTAGAGTTCTTCGTACTGCGATGCTGACGAGTTCCAGCTAAAATCTATACTCATATCCTTCTGAATGAGCTCTTTCCATCCTTCACTGTTGTTCTTATAATGCTTAAATGCACGCTCTAATGCATCGCTAAGACCCTGGGTATTCCAGAAAGTTTGGGTTAACACTTTTCCGCACTTTTAGAGTCTGTTTGGAACCCAAACAATAACAAACAACCAAGTAAAATCCCACAAAAGTAGGGTCTAGGGGTGAGTGTATGCAGACATTAGCCCCTACTCGAAACCGGAAACTTTGGAAAATGGGAAGAAAGTTAGTTACCTGCTCATTGGCAGACAAAAATGTAAAGCCATTCCGAAATTGAAACGGTATGGTGGCATCATCGACATCAAAAACACTGCGAGGAAATTCACCAAGTGTGTTAATGATAAACATCTTGGGGAAGTATAAACTTGAGTGATCGGTAGCTAACCTGTCATTTAAGCCACCAGTTTTTCTAGCTATAGGAATTGATCCATATCTCATTGCTATCATCTGCAGATTCATAAGTACAGTACCCAAACAATTTTTATAAGTTAAGTTGTATAAAGCACTATGCACCTGCTCTTAAATAAAGTGTAATCACTCCGAAAGCAGTAGACAACTAGGATACTTAATTACTTATGCAGCCATCAAAAAATACAGTAAAGCCACACTTGAGTTAACTAAATGTATCAGCTTTCAAGCTGAAAATTCTCTGGTACTTTCTATGTCTAAAATCTTGCTATTGTTGATCTGTATGTGAATTGAGGATCTTAGTAGTAGATACTGGTTATTGCATATCATGAGGTATAGAATATAGATGTCCTCATGAGTTGAAGAATCTCCATTCAAGCACCTAGGTTCACTTAGGTTAACCCGGTTTTTACCTAAACCAAACAGGCCAATGGATACTCGACAACGACTTGTCAACACTTAACGGTACCTGTGTTAGGCCGCATGGCTCAAAGATGGACGGGATAACAAACATATCAGATGCTGCATAAATCAAACGGGATAGAGATTCATCGTACTTCAACACCAGCCGAGCATGTTCATGATTTTGAAAATGGTTGCTTATATCCTCAAACTCCCTCTGCAACAAAAGTATTGCAACAGAGAAATATTTTCATCAATGCTCAAGAAATGCAGAAAATAAATGTTTGGTACAAACACGATTGAAGAAATTAAAAAGTGTTAAGGTTTAGATATATCTTTAAGATCTTGTAGAGTGGGGAGCGAGTTTCTTTCTTGTAAGTTTTAACACTATAGTATCCTCCCTAGTCCCATAAAAGGAGTCATGTTTGACCAAATTTATTCTCACATTTTGGGATTTATTTTTCAAAGTTCATCTAAATTTATCATGTAAAAGTGTTTGTTACTCTATTCTGGAAAATCACTTGAAAATACTTTCATTTGCTCAAACTGGACCACCTTTTATGGGATGAAATTGTTTTTGAAACATGAGCCCTTTTTGGGGTAAAGGGAGTGTCCTATCACTTATTCATAAAACATCACACTTGCCAGTTAAATGTATATGAGGAAAGCAAATAAGACAGTACCTGAATATGGGAGACAGGGCTTGAACCCAGAAGAACAAATTGTCCTCCCAACTCTAGAGTTCTATATATAGCATGCCGAATAAGATGAACACCTTTTTGAGGCACCAATCTTGTTATGCAACCAACCTACAAAAAATTAATCAAACTGTGCTCAAGGCATGAAGTTTGCATAATGAAACTCTTCAATGTACAATATAGTTGCCAAACTATCAAGGTACAATGGCTAGTATCAAGGTAATTTAGGATGCTAAATGGCTAAGAATAGATCAAAATGACATATTAAAATTGCATTGCTTTATGTTTTCTCAGAAGTTTTGGGAAGTAAATGCATCAAGAATCTATGGAAACAACATCTCTGTTTTTACAAGGGTAAGGTTACATACATCTTGACCCCAAAACACCAAAGAAGTTAGAATTATGCTGGGTTTGTTGTTGTAAATGGTATAGAAGTTGCAGTCCAGCCAAAAGAGTTCTATTCTACAATGCACGAACCCTCCACCCACCAAGGTTACGCAGTGCCCAACACACGTTGGACAGCAACATGCGCCTGATGCCGTGTCCGAACATGTCCACTATCTAAATAAATGAGAAATAAAAAAATAGACATTGTGTCTCACACACCACCCAAATCCAAATAATAACTCGTTCATTTTTCGGAGGGGTTATATTGAAGCTCAAGGTGAGTGTCATATTATGACACTTGCCCAAATTGGAGATTACGTGCTCTGTTTGCAAAATTGATGGTTCTTACCCCCTAACCCTAATCTTAAACCCCTCCCCCCGGGATCGCCGATTGGCAGCCAATCGGCAATTGGGAGGAGGGGGGTTTAAGGAGAGAATTAGGTGTGGGAACTACCAAATTTGCGAATAGAGCACCATAGGGGCCCCAATTTGGGTGAGTGTCATAATATGGCACTCACCTCCAGTGTCAACCCCCCCCCCCTTTATTTTAAAACAACGATATGTGCATTTTCACCAAAAGGCCCATAACCTTACGCCCGTATTTGGCACCCCTAAGCCCTGCCTCAGATTAATTGAGATGTATCATCAAATGAAAAAAAAAGTTCTTATGTTCACCTGGTGGCAACAGAAAATGAAATTCAGGAAAGGGGCTTCTCTAGCGGTTTTCTTCCCAACTACTCTTTAGGACATGTTTGGGAAGGGGCTTTGGAAGGGAGAGAGATGATTTTTAATTTAAAAACACTGCTTTCACAAAATTGTCAAAATAACACAAAATGATAAATTAGCTTAGACTAAATATCCAAGTCATTTGTTTACTACCATACACTCCCTCCATCCATATTAAAACTTCAACTTTTGTGTTTAGTCCACCCTAAAATAATCTCTCATTTTCCTTTAAGGAAAGGGATATGTGTGTCACAAGATTTCTCTTTTAAAAAAATTCTAACTACACAATTTTTACTTTTTAAATTTCTCCTAAAACTACATGCCCAGTCAAATTGGACTAAAATAGAGAAGGAAGTATAATTCCCCTAATTGAAAAAAAGAAATAAGATAACCCTTCCCCAGTCCCCTCCCTCCCCTTCCAAAACCATCTCATCTCAAACATACCCTTAGGGATAAATGTTCTCAGCTTGCATTACTTTTGGAGTGTCATATACAGTTTTCACATTGAAGAAATCAGACTTCGTTTTTCTTTTATGTAAAGCATGCATTATGCATGAAAAACGTATGAGCATATTAGTCAATAGCCTCCTCCAATTGAAATTTGATGTTGAAAATGAGCAAATGGCGAGTAAATAATTAATTAAAGAAAGGTCATAATAATTACCAATGGTTGACTTGTGAAGGCATTAGATAGCCCCAGACGAGTCCTTAGTGCTTCTTTATTTTCGGCTTTTCCTTCAATATCATTTGCACTGTACTGGGCCTTCAGAAAAGTATCCGAAGCTGGATTCCAGGCATCAGAATCGATTCCATTCAAGATTCCAATAAATTTCTTGGCATGAGAATTAATTGTTGAGTGAAGGCCCTTTCCTCCCTGTATAGAGTGTACCGTGAATTGAACACATAAGCAACTCTGATTGAAGAGTTTGAAACATGAGCTAGAGCAAGGCAAGCCAGGCACATGATTCTAGGCATACCTTATCTGATATAACTAAATTGTTTTTCACATGTGGATCCCCAGATGCTTATTTGGTCATATAACGAATATGAGTACAATCTTAATGATGCCAATATATGGTACCATAAAATACAATGAGATGCCACTATACAGTAGTGTAAACTCTTATTTTGAGGAAAAAACATTGAATTCTTGTTTTTATGATAAATGCTACTTCGTATCTTTTACTACTGAAATTTTTGTTTCTTTTTAATTTCTATCCATACCAAACTAATTCTCGTATTAAGAAATGAAATTTTAGGCTTACTATTTTTTATGGTATACAAATTTTGACTTATTATAAATAAACTACAATTATACACTTTTAATACTTATTAATTTCTATATTAAAATTGGTTTAAAAAGAGTAATTTCTCTAAATAGTCCTTTATAACTTAGGGTTTTTCATATTTAGTCCATATTTATCAAGTATTATGTTCGCGATCCTTATTGATTGGGTACCATTCCACGTTTAGTCCTTGTCTAATGACACTATGACCGAAAAATAGATGGAGGACCAAACGTGGAATGGTACCCAATTTATAAGTACTATCAACATAATATTTGATAAATATGGACTAAATATGGAAAATCCCCGTTATAAAGGACTATTTAAAGAATTTACTCTATTGTAATATTGTACGTAGTATAACGAATGTCAAAATGCAGGAACAAAGAAGGGAAAGAAAAATGTGTAGAAAGGAACTCAAAGGTCAACAAGAAGTGAAAAACCCCACAGATTACATGTCAAAGATGAGAAGAAAAAAATACTTTTCAGCATCTTAACATAATTAAGAAGGAATATTATTAAGGAAACCACATTCTTACCTCCACAGTTCGAACTTCTTGAGCATATGTTGGTGAAACCGTAGTTACAATGTTGGAAAACACAATTGCACCCTACGAATTAAATCATAGCAGTAATGTAATTTAAAAAATGAAGAAAAAAATTTAAATCTATTATTAGCAAGTCCTACATAATAATAAAACCAAATCTAAATACCTTGACAGGGTTGATTCTGTCATGTGATGAATTATCCTGCATCCTGTCTGCTCTATTCAAATGATAGACATCAAGACCACAGGAAGCTAACTCCGATGCAGGTGCAGTCCCCTGATATTCAAAATTATGGCATGTAAAACAGATCCTGGCTGAGTCCAACCCTTTTGGCACATATAGATCCCAGTAAAGTGGTGCCTTCATGAAATAACAGCACATATATCAGATTAAATATAATAAATGAGAAACACAAAAAGGGTAAAAGATATCGTAAGTCTTCGTACAACGAAAGCCGTTTGCCAGTCATGACAATGAATGATATCTGGTCTCTTGCCCGCTTGAAGAAGCAGCTCAAGTGCAGCTCTGCTAAAGAATGAAAATCGTTTGAAGTCATCATGCTCCCCGTAAAATTGGCCTCTCCAGAAGAAATTCCCCGGGTGCTGAGGTTCAATGAAATATACAGGCAGACCTACAAGAGACCAACCCAAAAGAACAAAAAAAGAAAGTAATGCAATAAGGCATTAGAACTTAGAAGTCCGTTGAAATGCCAGCCAAGCATAAATGAGCAATTGTACCTTCAACAGTCCCTACCCATATTCTGTTCTTGAATAATATGCCATCGAAGTATGACTCGACTACAACATCTAGAAGCTGAAAATATTAAATAAGGTAAATACAAAGCTATACATTATTGTAGCCAATTAATTATCTTGCAGATCAGATTATAAATAGAGCATACCCTCAAGTCAGAAACCAGCTCATATTGCATACAGTCATATTTAGGAAGCACAATTTCTACAAGGTGTCCCTTCTTCTGCAGCGCCTTGCCAAGGCTGGTTACTACATCACCTAGACCACCAACCTATAAAGTAAACAAAGATTTAAAATTTATGAAATATGATTTTCCACAATGAAATGCATCAAGTGGAAAAAGGCAGAGACTATATAGGGCATACACTTACGCAATTAGAACAAATTAGAAAATGATTTCCAAGATCCAGAATCTTATGATTATTGCCCTCTAGAAAATTATTAAGAAGAAAATTTCATCACTTATAACTCATTGTTATGCACTTATCCTACTAAAAGAAACATTATAACAATAAAAAAACTAATGAGAATTGAACAATTTACCAATGCCCTAACACCTTCATTATGACATGTTGATATAACACCATTCCGGATATTTAGAATAAAAAAAAGGTTTCACCCTTGGGCGAATGTGCATGTAGAAAAGTGAGTTACATAGGGATAAGGGAAAAGGTCAAATGGATATATATATATATATATATATATATATAAATTTTTAATGGACTGGCTGGAGAAAAATAAATGAGAATTCCATATACAAACAAAAATGGTTGTTGTATGGTTCTTATTATTTTTTCTTCAAAGTCATATTTATGCATACAATTTGATGAGGGGAAAGCTGAAGAAGTTACAATACATAATGCTATTTTCCGAGCAATGAAATGTAAGGAAAATACATAGAAGTGTTGCCACACCTTTGCTACTGGTGCCATCTCAGCTGCAATATGAATTATGTGGAGTCCTTGACTAAATATTGACAGAGACACTAGTTAGCATCATGACACATATTGCATTAATCCCATTTAACAATGAAAACTTTACATATAAACCTTGGTGATGGTGATGTTAGTCTAAGGAATGTGGAGATAACTTCTAGCTCATTCTTCTCCTTGCATAACATGTATTCATCAAACATGTGTCGATCTTTTCTCCACACCATATCTCTAAGCAACTTTGCATCATTCAATGTGATTTTCTTTTCTAGAGACCAACCATCAATCATTAGCAGTAAGTGACTCCAAAACTCCCGAGGCATATCATCTACGGGTCCATCTGAAGCTCTTCTCTTGCTTTCTTCCTTGAGATTATCAAGCGTTACTTGAAACTCTTTTAAGGAATTCTCATATAACTGAATATAGGACTGCATCTCTTCATCAGAACGTTGAAGGCAATCATCAAGAAGTTTTATCTTTTGTTGCATGAGTTGATTTTGCTTGTTCAACTTTTCTGATGAAAGCTTATAGACATTAGCCTCTTCAAGAGATTCTTCAAGCCTGTCAACTTTCTTCCGGAGCTCCTGGTTTTGTTGTAATAGCAATGTTGCTTGATCTGCCTGTTTAGTTGTTTTATATAGCAATTCTTCTAAATTCTCCACCTTTTCATATAAGCTCTTGCATTCAAATTTCAAGGGAGACAGTTTCGACACATCTTCCTCAGAAGCTGCAAGTTTGGACTCCAGCTCCTTCACAAAAGATTCCAAAACATGCCTTTCTTTCTCCAGCATTTGAATCCGTTCTCTAGTTCCCTTGACATTGTCTAGCTCAGCCTTAAGTGACTCCATATCATCCTTTAGCGAACCATTCTCTATTCTCATTCTATCAAGTTCTTCACTAGTTGAATAAGCAACATTATCCTGGGAAATATGAACTGAATTATGAGCATCAGTTTCTGCTAGCTTCATCTGTAATAAATTGATCTCACCCTGCAAAACTTCTTTTTCACCAAGAATTGTTTCAAGATCTTCAAGTGCACGGATACGAGCTTCATTAAGAAGATGGATATCTAATTGCAGAAATAGAAACAAAGAAGTTAGAATGAATGTCCAGAAAAGTTTGCAGAATATAGCATTAATAGTTAATTTAATGATATAGAAGAAAAGAAGTCATACTTTTTTCTGCATCTCTTATCATGCCAACCAAATCCTTAAGTTGAATGTTTGCCTTCTCCCCATTTGCATCAATGGACTAACCAAATAAAGGATAGAGAAAAATAAGAAGAAGATTTTCCGTTTAAGTTTTAACAAGGGGTCTGCACATGGAACTTAAGGAAGTAAAGATTTAAGTCTTGTAAATTTTGTATTCTGGATATAAGAAGGATTGCATTCTATCCTTGTTCCATTTTTTTATTCACAACCTTCAGATGGCCAAATATAAAGGTTGATTCTTCATATATGCTATGAGTGATATTCAAATCTCATACCAAAATGCAGTTTCAAGATTATACCAAAGATTTTATCTCATTAAGGAGAGTCAGATTACTTGCTTCTTTCTCATCTGAGATCTCAGCTTCCATCACATGGTCCATACTTCCTTCAGCTTCTATTCCTTCACTAAAAATTTGTAGGCTATTTGCTTCTTTCTCGTCAAAACTTTCGGCTTCTGATGGAATGTCAAAAAATCCTCCTGATATTTTATCTTTTGAAAGTGGTATACGCTTTGCTTCTTTAACATCACACTTTTCAGCTTTTTCCACATTGAGAATATTTCCTTCAGCTACTGTTTCTTCGTTTGAAATTGGTGAACTATTACCCAAGGATTTCTTCTGGACATCTTGACCCTTGACCACCTGAATATCTGCATTTATTGGACGCTCCAAACTGATATTCTTGCTTCGTTGTCTCTTATTTTGCAAGCTGCAGAAATTTTAGTACCTGATTTACTATTATCAATCAATGAAAAAGTGATCACGGTTGTTATAACTGTGAATTTGTTATGAATGAGCACTGCATATTGCCTAATCTAAGCATCTAGAATTCGATATTGACAACTTTCTCATCTCGCCATCTCGGTTCAGTAAACTGGAAGTGTTACCAAGAAGAAGGAAAAATTACTTCCTAGTCATTGCAGCACAAAATCTACACCAAAATACCATTTTTTTTAGTAGAGAAAATAAAGGAGTTACGGAGTACAAATGAAAGAGGGAAAGGGGGTCATAAAGCTTACCCTCGGGGAATGATAGCCTAAGACAAACCCAGTACAAACAAACAAAACAAAACAAGGACCACCTAAGAACATCTCCTAGACTGCTTGTTCCTAATCTTCTTTTGGAGTAATGAAAAATAGGGATGTCCAGCCCATGAATGAAGTGCATATGATGAAATACATTTAACATCCATATTAATTCCCACAAATAGAAACTTTGAGCTAATACATATTTGCACATTGATCCTCTAAGTTTACTATTTTTTTGGGGATTAATCGGGGGTGGCTCTGATGGCATAAAACATGTGCGACAGGACATCACATGGCCCCCAAAATTTTAGGGACCTGAGAAAATGTAGCTTTTAATGTGAACTATGGATATGTGCATTGTATGTCGCAGATCAATGACAAGTATATTAAGAATATGTATTGGTTGAGTTACCTAAACTAAAATAAAGAGTGATCTGTTAAAAATTCAGAATCAGTACTTGGATTCTCTGAAAGGCATGTAGTCACATTCACATTGAAACAATTCGCCAGTTCACATGAATCTTTCAATTGGATACAATTCAGAGAGACTTAAAGAACAAAGTAAGAAAAATTTGTGATGATTTTTGAACCTATGTTTCTTGACAGGTCTGTGAACGATCTTATAGACACGGGGAAGAACGCGGACTGTCGTGTTGTGCCTTTGTCTAATGTTAGCGTTTATATAGTGATTTATACAAGAAGAGGCGCTTAGGACTTTCTTAAGTATCAAATCTGAAAATAAAAATTCTAACTGAATTTTTAGCACAACACTTTGTCCAAAATAAAAAAATTCCGAGCAACCCCAACCAGGGGCTCTGCCTTTTAGACCGTGCAGGGGCTGCCGCCCCTTGAACCCCGCTTTCCGAGGCGCTGCCCTCAAACCGCCGCCAAGGGGGAGCTGCCCCCAAACCACCGCCAAGGGGAGGCAAATACGATAATTTTATCATAACAAACTCAACGAAGCGTGCAGTCCGCACCATCGAACTTCTTTGATAATTATTTTGATAACGTTAGTCAAATAGTCATTCTAATTACACTAAAATATATAACATGATTTGGGATTGAAAATGGTTTCTTCTTCATTTCTTTTTAATTATTGTAGACTAAGTTCACATTCTATCAAAATATTGAGGCCTAAAATTAAAATTTTACAGAGTAATAAAAATTCGAATTGAGTTTTCCAAGTTATCTTTAGCATGTGTCAAAACCTATTGCTCCGTATTTTTCGGAGATATAGAATTATAAATGCTAATTTGCTGAAAGTTAATTTGGAGCTATACACTGACAAGTCACACAATGCTCATTCAACAAATTTATATTTTTGCATATACTCAAAGTATGCAGATAATGAAATCGATGTGTGCAGATAACTGCACAATCCTCATTTAGGTGCTAGATTGCAGAAGATAAAGGAGCTGCATCTGGAAACAGTTCGGATCAGTACCTGATATGGCGGTGGCGGATTTTGCAGGAAACGGGGAGGGGGAGATGGGGGCGGCGAGGGCATAACAATCGCAGATTCAAATGCTTCCCGGCAATCCGCCGCCCCAGGCCGCAATCGCCGGCGAACCACCGCGGGCCGAGCAAAGGTGCGGATAGCCTTGCCTCCATTTTAGTGAAGAAAGTGGAGAATAGAGAGTTCCTTGATATGCAACAAAACAATCTGATTGCTTATTATGGTTCCATTGGAATGATTCGATAAATAAATAAATAAAGTAAAATCAGATGGATTCTGGGGAATGGGCTCTGTAGTATATTTCTTTGTTCAAGAAAGGGATATGTCCCAGCATTGTCTCCTTCTCACCAATATAATGTTGTGTGCGCCAAATTACACGGCACAGTGGGAGCCGCACATGCAAAATCATCCTCTAATTGGTATACTCCCTGCTGCTCCCTCTATTTTACAGTAATTCTATATTAAAATTTATTGAATACATTAAATTTAAAATGAGAATAGAAAAAGGGTAATTTTTACTTTTGTTGAAAACCAATTCTAAACCTCATTTTCTACTTCTAAATCTATAGTACTCTGTAACTTATATAAGTCATATGAGATTGCCACATTTAAAATTATACTCCGTACAAATTAAATTATCTATTTATACTATTCATAAAATCAAACTTTATTCACTTTTATTCTTTATTTTTATTAGTCATTTGATTAAATAAAATAGTCATATCACTCCTAATTTTTTTAAATACTTTAATATCAACAATTTTTACTTTTAAATTTTACAACATTTTTCATACGAAATGATTTAAAAACAATCTCATAATTTGAACGGAGGGAGTAAAATAGAAGCCATTGATTGTTTCCAAATGCATTCTCAAATACTCTCATAATGTATTTTTTATACGGAGTAATGTTTAGTACGTACAATGTGAATTCTGAATATGTATTAAGAAAATACTCTCTACATGGAGCATAAAAACGAAAAATAAATGTGTGAAATGAATTTTTCTTATTTGTAAATCTGAAATATAACCACATCTAGAACACATGGAACCAAAGAGTTGCAAAAATTTAGCATGCAATGCCAGTAACCAAAATGAGGAAAACACCATTGCACCAAAATAATCTACAGATTGAAAATTACCATCCAACGAAAAAAAAGTAAAGGAACGCGAAACAAAATAACATTTGGTCATAGAGACATGAGAAAAACTATGGTGAAAATTTCTGACACTTGATGCAATCTTTGTGTAGTAGAAAATTTATACTTGCAAATTAATCATCGAATAAGCTGAATCCCATTTCGCCGTCACTCTCTTCCTTTGGCTCCTCCTGCAATTAAATACACAGCCATATGAATTAGAACCACGGAGACGAGTACATTTCTTAATTCTTACGGAGTATCATAAACAAATTGTCCAGGCACGATGTATCGCACCTTTTCCTCAGCAGCAGGAGCTGCGGAAGCGGCAGCACCACCACTGGCGGCAGGAGCAGCCACGGTAACAGCACCTCCACCGCCGCCACCAGTGCCGACGTTCATGATGAGATCCTCAATGTTCCTCTTCTCACAGAGCTTGGCGAATAGGCTAGGCCAGTAAGACTCCACGTTGACGTTAGCAGACTTCACAACGGTTGCAATCTTCTCGGCCTGCAAAATAAAATATGATACAATATTTTCTGATTAATAGCAGAAATTGCGAATTTCAACATTACAGAGGAATAAGACAGCTACCATGACGGGGATTCCATCATCGTGGAGAATTAAAGCGGCATAGCTGCAAGCAAGTTCTGAAATCGACATTTTCCAACAATCGATCTACAAACATGGCAATAGGACAGTCATGGAAAATGACTTGCAGAAATCAGATCTTTGAAAACATGAGCATTTTGAAAAGAAACACAAATCTTTATCTACTACGGAGTATATACAAGAGCAGGTGAAACTTTGGTACAATACTCCCACTCAAAAGTTTCCCATCAATTAACAGTTGCAATGGAAAATTAGTGAAAAAGATTTCCCACCAATGATCTTTTGAATCAACCATTGTGACAGTTCACGCTGATATGATGCCCCATTTAGCTGTCAAAGCATTTATTTTTGCAATATCTAGCACTATGCATACAAAAGTCATCATGCCGGGCAGAACACACACAATTTACAAAGTGAGAAAGACTCAAATGGCACAACAGAGGTCATCTGAACAAGGGATGTGGTAGCTGGTGAAGGAAATCAACCACACCCAAACAAAGCGGTCTTTGCAGTCGACAGACATGCAAGTTTACCAAGTTCTCCCACGGAGTAGAGGAGGAAAAGCAAAGGAGCTTGTTTTCACGATGTAGAAGTAATTTCTAAACTTGATTGTATTCAACTCCGGAAATTTTCTAGTAAAATATAATTACATAAACCTATGTTGTTTGCAAGTTCATTACTAATCTGCAAGTTCGAAGTTGGCGGGAAACAAAGGAACGCCTGGATATGGATTAGTAGCAACTTGTCAAGGATCATAAACCCAAGCAAATACTCAATCACTTTAATTTTAAATTTGATATGTATTCCCCTTGTCAATTAAGCAAACAATTAATGTATACTTTTTCAAAAAATACGCATTACAAAAAATGTAAAAATAGATGGAGAAAATAAATCTGAATTCTATCAGTCCTGAATCTCTGATATCTCAAAGCATATATTTTTATGATGAAAAGATTGGCACGGCTATACTTTCGGCTGAGATTTCTGAAAAGCGCATACATACTCAAAGATTTTGCTTCTGAAATATCAAAAACTACTCGATTTCGGGTAAGGTTCCAGTTGTAAACGTATTAATTTCGTGGATCTACCAAATCCGAATTTAGAAACAACAAACAATTCATCTTTTCATGCATATAATATAATATAAGCGATGAAGAACACATAAGATAGCGGTTCCCCTTTTCATGCAGAACATATATCATTAAACATGGAAATTAATCACACAAAAAAGACGATCTTAAATGCTCTGAAACAACAAATATATACAGATCTAGAAACAATAAATATAATCTGAACATAAAACTGTCCAAAGCATACTTGCCGTACCGGAGTCGGGCGAGCACGATGTAAAAGCAAGAATCGCAGAGGACGGGGAAAGTCTCACTTCGCCGCTTGCGATGATAGAAGATATCCGTAAGATTCTAATAGACCTATCGGAGATAAGGAGTATGGAAAATGGGCTCGGCCCATTTGTTAGGTCTTTTTTACCATATCCCAACTCAATTTCTATTTTGTGCTCCCTTACTCTAAAAAATAAAAAGAGTAAATTTCATAATTGGTCCTTTATAATAGAGGGTTTTCATATTTAGTCCTCTATTATCAAATATTACCTTGTGGTCCTTTTTTTAACGGAATCTTTCTACAAATGGTTCTTTTTTAATCTTGTGTGATGTTGGTATTAATTTAAAGGTTACAAGTATAATTTGACATCAACATTATGTCTAGTGACGTGTTCTTATATTGGTTAAGTGGATAACACAAAATAATGAATATGATTGTGGGCTAAGATTCCGACGAAAGACCACATTTGTAGACTATGGTTGTAATAGAAAGCGATTGTAATTCACAAACGACGGAAACGGAATAGCCTTTGAAATTGTGTATGACAAAAAAGATATATTAGCATTGCGAAATTGCACGTTTAGCCTTCAAATTAACATCAACATGATAGAAGATCAAAAAAGAACTATTTGTGGAAAGATACACATAAAAGAAAGACCACTGGTAATATTTGATAATAGATGACTAAATAGGGAAACCCCCTGTTATAAAAGACCAATTATGAAATTTACTCAAATAAAAAGGTGTATCATTATCACTTACCATGTCATTAATAGGAAATGTGAAATTTATTTTGACATTATTCAATTCAGAAAGTGATAGATTTGTTTAAGGATCATGGAAGAAATATCTATTTGTTCAGAACAATTGGAAAAATTTGACTTTGTAACAGGTGAAAAATGATATTGTGATTTTGGTTTTGAACCGAAATTATTATATTTAGTGTTTTTTCTGTCTCGTAATAATGTTTCACAATTTATTGAATACATACATTAAAAAAGTAAAATTGTGAGTTTATATTAGTGTAGAAGAGAGAAATAATAGTTTGTAATAACCACAAAAACTTCAAGGGACAACGATGACAAATAGATTGCTCTCTCTGATTAGTTTGATCTCATTAAATCTCATATGATTTTCTTGAACTATAATTTGATATGGTATGATATGATCCAATTCCAATAAAATAATGCTAATGCAGAGTAAGAATAAGTTAATGAAAATAACCTTTTAATTCTCTTGACATAGAAAGTCTTCAACAAAAATGCTATTTTAGTTGTATATCATGTTACATGATCGCGCACACTAACACAAAATGTGTATGCGTCACAAGCATTTTGTATTAGTGTGTGCCAATATAAAATATAGCGTACAAGTGGTGTACATCTAACGCGTCTGAACCCTTTTTCTCTATAGTCCATGCTCATGTTTTTAATTGACATTTATTTCTTCATTTTCTGATCAATAATTCATTTTTTACATTTGTTTTTTAAATTTATTCACAACATACGACAACAACAACAAACTTTTATCCCATTAAGTGGCACCAGGCCACCAGCTACATGGATCAAACGATATCATTGTGCTCTATTATGTGCTATATCTACATTGAGATTATTTACGCAAAGATCTCCCTTAACAATTTTGTACAAAGTTTTATAAGGTCTATCTCTTCTTCTAGTTACATGTCCATTCACCATTTGATCAATACTTTTCGCTAGATGCTTTATTGGTCTTTTTTTACATGTCTAAATCACACAAGACGTGTTTTCACCACTTATTCTATAATAAGTGACACTAACCTTAGCTCTCGTATCTACATTCTTTATTCTATCCATATGTGAATAATGCCCGCTCATATATTAAAACATTTTCATTTCAAGCACACTAACCTTGTATTTATGTTCACTTATTGCATGCCCAACACTTTAATCCATGCAATATAGTTGGTCTTACCGTAATATAGTAAAATTTTCCTTTTAGTTTTAAATACTCCGTATATTTTTGTCATTTAATGTTCGAAACGTTCCATAATTTTGACCAACCGACTTAAATCTATGTGTTGAAAGATTTATTAGTAAACAATAATCAAGTCCAAGGAAAAAATTCATCACACGGAGGAAAATTTAAATTCTTTCATACAGAGTATTAATATGAATTGATGTACAACTAACACAATGTAGATTGTCGCAACTTGTGCCCCGACGAAGTCCCCCAATAAGGTTGTACATGGTATTGGTTCGGTTCCCGGTACTCCGCCCCTGTCACTTCCCCCCTCTTCCTGCCCACACCGCGTCCCGCCATCCACCCGCCACTCAACCCCAACCCCCAGCGTCCCATTCTCCCCCACCATCCCTAGTTTCCCCATATTGCTAAAAGATTTTAAATTTGTTTCAAAATAAATTTTTAAATATATATTTTTAAATATTACCAATTTCTTTTTATCAAATAATAGAAAATTTGATAGAAAAATAATTTCTCTAAAAAATAATTTTTTTAAGAAATCTATTTTTTCTCCCACCAATACCCTAAAAAACAGGGCCGGCCCAATAGAGAGACAAACAGTCTGCCCGGCAAGTCTAGCACTTAGCCCAAGTCAAAGGCCCATTTCTTCTAAGCCTTTTGCTTCGTAGGAAGGCCGTAGAAAGTAAGTCGCAGAGAGCCAGAGACGCAAACGCAGAAGCTCGCACGCAAATCGATTGGAAAATTCTGAGTGCCAGTAGAGACGCCGCCGCCGCCGCTAGACGCCGCCGACCCAACAGGTATTCCACATTCACTACTCACAAGCTTTCCAATTTTGTAACTTTTTTCTTTCTTTCACAGTTTCATTCTTTGGATTTAAAATCTAGGTTTAATTATTAGTTTTTTTTATTTGAAATCTTTGCTAGTTGCATTGAAATAGAATGAATTAATGGTTCTATATGTTCTTTATTTGATTTGGATGAGTTGATTTGAAATAGAATGAATTTGTGATATATATAATCTATAAAAAAACTGAAAAACAAAAAAAAACTGAAAACTGAAATACAAAAAAAACTGAAAAATTGACGCATTGATATGAATTTACGATACATATAAAAATATGAAAACTGAAAAAGGAAAAAAATAAATGAAAAATTGATGAATTGATATGAATTTATGATATATGAATTTATTTCCCTGCTTTTCCATATTTATGTAATTATAATACTATGATTTTGTTATTTATTTTTTTCTTCTTATAATATTGCGTTAATTATCATTTAAATATAATTGATTTTCATATGTTAATTTGTTACACCATTAGGGATAAGATGGCCTTTTTTTTTCTATTTTGGCCCAGGCCGATGAATACTCAGTACCGGCCCTGCTAAAAATACTCCCGGTAATGGTCAAATCATCATCGTTTTGGCATGGCATTAAAAAAATGGACTACTCTGTGTGAATCCGTTTCCTTCCGTCCTTCCTAATCGCGTCGGAAATTCCTCGCCCAAAGAGTCCACCGCCGTCGCGACATTCGACCAAAATCAGGCACCAGATCGCAATCACCGTCTTCAACGCTCCAATTCTTAAGTCCTCCAAAACAAAATCATGTATTTTTTTGTTTAAAAGACTAATACTTTAATTTGAAAAGTATTGTTGATTTTTTTGTTTTTGTTTTGAAATGAAGAATGATGCTAAATTCATATTTTAATGAAGTAATTTGGTTTGTTTTTGTTTCCTATTTGAGAGGTTATTATTAAATACCCATTTACTCATTTACTTTGTTTTGTGCTCAATTTAAATGGATGGTTTGCAAAAATTAAAAAATTTGCAAAAGTTAAACATCTTTTTGGTAAGCATCTCTAAATCTATTCTCTCTTTATCTTTTTTTACAGTATTTGTTATGAAGTGCAGTACTTTTTCACCTAATCTGGTGCCTAGCTTTCTTAATTAATTTATTTTGTTTTTTTAATTAAAATGATGGTTTTTTTGAAATTAATAATTTTGATAAAGAAATTGTACTTCTTAATTTCTTTTTCCATTTTAATTATTTGAATGCTTGTTTGAGATAAAATTCATTTTTTGTCAATTCAGTTCAATTCACTCATGCTCATGTTTCCAAATGGCCTGTAAAAGGAGGAAGTAAATAGATGAATGATGAGATCAAACTGTGGTGATGGAAATTTTCAGTATAAGAAACATGATAGAGAATGATTGTGAACTTTGTGGGGAAAAATTTGAAAATGTTAGCTCTGATCTTTCAAACTAATTTCACATTTAATTATTGACTCGGAGATTTTTTTCTGCAGGATTTTTTTTTGCAAAAATTTAACGAGTTTTAGGTATATATCCAAGGAAATTATGGAGAAATGCAATGCTACAGTCCTCTTTATTAGTGCTATGACGATTGTTACAATTAGGGTTCTTTTTGTCATATACCGGAGCAGAAAGCCACTCCGATCCAGATTGCCACGGCCCCTCCGGACGCTCATTGTGTTAGGTTCAGGTGAAAATTGGATCATGTCAAATTCTGCCAAGTCTGAATGTTAAACAATCCATTTGTTTGCTCTGATTTTCTAAGAGCTGTTTTTTGATGCAGGTGGCCACACGGCAGAGATGATGAACTTGTTATCTGTTCTTCAAGAAGACATGTTTAAGCCAAGGTTTTACATTGCTGCTGCAACTGATAACATGAGTCTCCATAAGGCCAGAGTATTTGAGGACTCTTTAGTTGAGAAGGTGATTTGTGTTTTACCCATAGTTACAGAATTCGTACACCCAGCCGCGATTTCTGAATTGGTACGAATCGTACCCAATCGCAATTCGCCGGCGATCCGATCGCCACCGGTACGGCGATCCAAATCGCCATGGTACGGCGCTCCAATTCGCGAAGGTACGACGATCCAGATGCCCTCGAACGTCGCACCAAGTCGGAGAATGTGGCGTGCCAATCGCCGGCGGTCAAGCGATCCAAAACCCAATTTCGTCTCTTCCGCGACCTTCTCTCTTCCAACAATTTGCGATTGCACTTCCCCAAAGTGTCGTGTGAGTCGTTCCCAGTCTCGATTGCACTTCCCCAAAGTCTCGATTGTTTCTCGATTGTTCTGTGACTTCTCTCCGTAAGTGTTTCGTATTTTCCTAGGCAGTCTCCTCATATATATATATATATATATATATATATATATATATATATATATATATATATATATATATATGTCTCACCCTCTCAAGTCTCACCACAACCCAACCTAAAGTCCTTAATATCCAGTAATTTTTTCTCTCTTTTTTCAATGGCTTTTAGAATATTTTAGATGATGTCTTGTTTTTCAATTGGATTTTGTAATGTTATGCACTTATGCTCATCTTATCTATTTTTGTTTGCTTATGTTTTGACTTTTGGTACGCCGAACCGAATACATGGTACACCGTACCGCTTCGTACCACTTCGTACCGAAATGAACCTACCCCCCTTCGTACCGAATTCGTTACCTCTAGCGAATTTCGTACCCGTACCGCGTACCCGTACCGAAACGTACCGCGATTTATGTGACTATGGTTTTACCCCTGGTTCTATTTTGATGGCCTTTCTCTAGTGTATCATGAAATGCTATTCATATGGTTCGTATAACTATAAATAGGTCTAAGGTTTTGTCTGTTGTTGTAGGCAGGGACGGAAGTGGTTCGAACACCTCAATTCATGCAAATATATAGAAGCCGGGAGGTTGGCCAATCATACATCACATCTGTTGCTACAACCTTAATTGCTTTGGCTCATGGTTTGTGGTTAATGATCAAAATCAGACCTGAAGTGGTATAATTGATCTGCCTATTATCTTCCACTTGATTTTTGTGCTGTGTGACATCATAATAATTTTCTATCTTCTTAGCTAAAATTCCCCTTTTTTCTCTGCAGGTTCTCTGCAATGGCCCTGGAACTTGTATACCACTGTGTGTGATAGCATTTTTCTTTAAGGTATGCTTGCTTTCCAAGCTAACTTCCCATATGCAGGCTCCATTTATGAGGTCTATTATTAAACCCAAAAGTGGAAAAAGGAAACGTTAAGTAACAGGGAGTTAGATGAATCAATGAAGGGAAAAGATGACTAGTGACCTTAGAAAGATGAAACACATCAAAGATAAGAGTTGTTTCCTTAGTTCAGCATGAAGAAATAGAAACTAGGTAGAAAAAGTTATTAGATGAATTATTATTCAACGGGTTCCAACTTTTCGATATTAAAATCAGTTTTATTCATGATAAGAAAGCCAATAGAGATTATATGTGATCCAAAGGACATAAGCTGAGAAAGCTTTGAAAATATGTGTACTTTCACTTTTAGACCAGCTGTAGTGGGCGCAAAGAACAAACATGGTGCCCATGTAATTATGTAAACCCCCTCCCCCCTTTACTCCGTCAAATCATATCTTTACACTTCACATCTCTCACATTTAATTTATTAGAAATAAAAAAATATTACTCCCTCCATCCCAAAATAATTTACACTTTTACTATATGAGCCTCCCGATAACTTTTGTTTATTCATGTGTTTTCATTGATTAATTGATAAAATAAAATATTAATGTCACATCTTGTTTTGCAGAACTTTTAGTTTGTTCTTAAATATGTAATTTGAACTTTTTATTTCTATATCAATTTAGAGATAAAATCATTTTAAAAAAGATGAAGTTTTGCATGTTTTTTGAAGTGTAAATGAATTTGGGACGGAGGGAGTAATAATTATGAACTCCATAATTATTAGTGGGGATTAATGGGGCATTTTGACTACACCATTTTTATGCTATGGAGCCCCTTGATGAGGTGGCTGTCACATGGCGGATAATGCCCCTCTTGGGGCTCCGTGACTACAGATGGTCTTATAAATGAAGTAATTGGCATATAATTGAACTGAGAATAATTAAGTTTAATTTGAACGGAATTGTATGGATCTGAAATGAAAACAGTTAACTTTGATAAAGATATTTGCAATTGCAATTTATAAATGAAGTATTTGGCATATCTATTTTTATATTCCTAATCACAATTAAGTTATTTTGGACCATTATATTACTTTTATTTTTAGAAATGTAAATAAGGCATAAGTGGTGAGATGGATTTGAATTTCTCCCCTTATATGTGAAATTTGGAGTTCAAAACTTGACACATTCTTCTTCGTTCCTAGACCCTACTTTTGTTGGGGGGGGGGTATATTCATTACTTAACTAGGTTCTTTTATCTTTTTGTTGCATATATAGGTACTTGGAATCAGGTGGTCATCTATATTTTATGTAGAGAGTATTGCAAGAGTGAGAAGGCTATCTTTGAGTGGGTTGGTCCTTTACAAACTACAGATGGCTGATCAATTATTTGTTCAATGGCCAAAATTGAAAAACAAATATCCTCAAGCTCATTATGTGGGGCGTCTTATGTGACTCATATGTGGCTCGAGTCCTCAAATTTTGGTACTTGACCTTCCTAAAATATCATATTGACAAGGTTTTAGGAAAAAACAAGCTCCAAATCGCATCTTATATTCACGGGAAGAGCAATGCTAACATACCATCTTGCAAGGTTATTTTTGTAACTTCATTTACATGTACAATACAAATGGCTTTGGCCTTGAGGTATTATCAAATTCGCTTTGATATTTCCATAAATTTGAGATTCTACAAGAATACTCAAAGTTTACATAATTATCATTAGCATTCTCCTAAATTTAATATTCTTAAAATAGTACCTCAAGATTGCATATAGATCAGTGATACTGGTGATACTGTATTACTGATACTCCTTACATTTCAAAAATTTGGGTATCCTTGTAAATTAAAAAATTCTCTTGGAGTGACTGAAAAAGTATTGAATTTATGAGAATGTTGATGATAATTTTTGATAGAATTTGGGATGAGTATGAACAACTGGACGGGGTAATAAGACACTTGGGTTGAACCACATTAAAAGATTGAATCCAATCGATTAGTTAGTTTAACTCAAGAGCTTATATACCGGATTATTTTACTCTTGGACTTCCGATGTGGGATGCACTCTAACACCCCCCCTCAAGTGGACAACCGGGCCATTTTGAATCTAACTGGTTGACCACTTGCAAACGAACTCCCATTCCCTTAATTTTTTTTGAGCGCCAACACCTAAAGGACCATTGCACGAGCTGCTGGGTATGGACTTCCAGACAAGCAATTGTGTTAAACGGGCCACAGGCCGTTGGATACACACTCCATACGGACAACTGGGCTAAAGACTAACGGGCCGCTAGAAATGAATGTCTAGACGGACACCTTAACAAACGAGGTGTGCCAAATTCTGCTCTGATGCCATTATAGAATTTGGGATGGGTATGGACAACTGGATGGGGTAATAAGACACTTGGGTTGAACCACATTAAAAGATTGAATCCAATCGATTAGTTAGTTTAACTCAAGAGCTTATGTACCGGATTATTTTACTCTTGGACTTTCGATGTGGGATGCACTCATAGTAAAATTATAAATTTATGAGAGTACCGATTTCTCTTGTACTACGGTTATATTCCTTGATCTTTCTTCTCTATTAGGACACATTTATGTAATCCCTTCGTCCCAATTTAGATTACAAATTGGGAGTAGCCATTGTTGTAGTTAGGTTAAAGGTCAGTAGGTCACATCATAGATTTGATGATTGAAAGTTGAAGCCAATGGGATTTTTGTACCATGTTTTCATCCATATAGAGTGAAGACTTTGGACCACCTATTTTCCTTCTCATCTGTAATTCCTAAGCTGCACCATGCCTTTTAAAACAACCTCTTACTAATTGGGACATGCAGAGTTTAATACACACTTTATTTTGGAAAGATAAAACACAAGAAACTGAGGAGAAGATTAGATGCTAGTCTAAATTCTTTGAATGAGTGCAGCTTCAGAAACATGAGTGGATTGTTGCTCTTTCTGCTCAGCCTTGGCTTTCATATCATCAAGATAGTGTTGGTAGACATATGAGACAAAGCCCCATAGTGCCAGCAACAATGAGATCACTTTGACACCACTCATCTTATCCTTGAAAATGAACACAGCCATAACAGGAGGGATGGGCAACCCTAGGATGGCTATCACATTAGAGAACAAAGATGAAACCTTGAAGATGAGCCCGAGCGACCCGACCGCAAAGACCTGCCATGCCACTGCGGTCCCCACCAAGTTCATCACATACGACACCCTTCCCAGACCAAACCCATTCATCTCCTCCCTCAAACCCCTCCACTCCCCGCTCGCTAAGAGCCCCACGAGCGTCACAACGGACCCCACCATTGACCCGCAGATCAACATTTCGACGATGAGCCGGAACGTCTCCTTGCGCTTGAAGATCCTATGGAAGGCGAGCTGCGTGAGGGACATCTGTAACGCAGTTCCTGCAGATGCAGCTACAGTGGATAAAAACCCTGCGACATACTTCTTATGGGAAGAGTTGGCGGGGCCCTCCCCGGAGCCAAACACGAGGACGGTCGCGGAGAGGGTGAGGAGGACGAGGGAGTTGACGATGTAAGGGGTAAAGTTCTGTGCATTGAGGAAGAAGGAGAAGACGGCGTTGAACCCTAACTGGCTAGCACAAATGAGGGAGTATGTCGATAAGGGCAGGTACATGAGCCCAACAGAATACATCATACAGATCCCCGCGCCAAAGAAGCCTAGGACAGCGTAAAGCGGGGCGATGACTCTAAGAGAGGGGTTAGTAGTCGCGGGGGTGGTTGATGATGATGACGAGGAGGAGGAGAGGAAGAGGAAGGGGATGAGAATGGGGAAACCGGCGCTCTGGACAAATGTGGCCATCCATTTGCTCTTACCACCTTGGCTGAAATATAACCTGCCCAAAAGTGTGCCTATTGTTTGGCTGGAGAGGACAAATATGGAGTAGACAACCATTTCTGCCCACCATTTGTAAGCTGATTGCTGCTGCTTGGGGTTAACATCATTTGCATCAACTTCCACTATAGCCTTTGGTTCTTCCTTAGTTTCCTCTCCTGCAACAAATTGGGAATTTTATATATTTACCTCTTCTGGTTCATATTCAAGGATCAAACTGCAGTCACACCAGGTTTGACGCTTAAGTTTGACACCAAATATTTTACAGACATGCATAGCCAGTTACATTCTCTGTTGCACAGACAGTTATTGTTTGCACATATTGTTAGTACAGAGATACTTTTCAAGAGACTTGGGGCTCAAAAACACATCAGACAAAGTAAAAACAGCAGCACAAAGACATACTAGTTTAATCCATATATAATTGTACACAACCTTAAAAGCACATATATATGACATCTCTCTACCAGGTTTATGTGAAATTTTGTGCACAGAACCTCAAACAATAATTAACCACTGAAGGATCCTAATCCTATTCATCATAGTTGATATAAATGGATTTTTTAGGTTTTGTACAGTAAGGATGGACTTACCTGGCTGTTTCATGTCTAAAATGTTTCTCACTGCCATAGCCATAGAGCTTGGAGAAATATATCACCAAGTGTTGTAATAATGTGGGTCTTTTTGCTCTTCAAAGTCTTTGTTTTATATGTACTGTAATACTCCATTATTTATTGAAAGAGTCACGCTAGTATGCTGGGGTGCCACCATGTGTGCACCCATGCTTCGTACAGACAAACACAGATGTTAATCGTCTGTGCGACACAGACGATTATCGTCTGTGTTTGTTTGTGCAAAACATGGATACACTCATGGTAGCACCCGTGTGGTGGCACCCTATCATTATTCTTATTGAAAGGGTCATGTTAGGGTGCTACCACATGAGTGCTACCATGTGTGCACCTATGCTTAGCGTCTGTGTGACACCCTGCATGACCCTTTCAATTCAATAATTTTGTTGTGACTATTTTTTTTCTTCATTTGTGTTCCCCACTTAAATGCACGGATGTTGACACTGTGACCCTGACACTAGCTCCTAGAACGTGAGGTTTAAAATATCTTACATATGAATCAATATTTTTGTTTATCCTATGGTTCATTTTCCACCCTCGGGTAATAAATTGACCAGACAGCTTTCTTCTTTATCCTTGTATATTCCTTGTTCTTTCTTCTCTATTGGGACACATTTATTGTAGTCATTGTTGTATTTGGGTTCAATGTCACATGGCTGACATCATAGATTTTATGATTGAACCAATGGCATTTTTGCACCATGTTTTTGTAAATTTTTTGTTTTAGTGGTAAGAGCGGTTGGAGAAATATCATTAGAGTAGCTGGGTAGTGCCTTGAGCTAGGAGGCGTTGTGTGCTTTGAATGCCCTTTTATGCTTGGTGCTATTTGCTTGCAATATTCTCGTTTTGTAACTTTAGTTTAGTGTTTATTTTGGTTGTTTGGTGTTTTATCCGTGTTGTATATGTGGTTTCATTGTTTTATGTATCTATTTTGATCCTTCTTTATGTGCATCTTGAGCTAGGGGTCTCATGTAAACAATCTCTCTACTCTCGAGTAGGAGCAAAGTCTACATACACAGGCCCTCCCCAAAACCTATTTTTGTGGGGTCCGACTGAGTTGTTAAATTAAAAAAGCGTTTCCAGTAAAAAATATGTGCCCCAGTGTTAAAAAGAGTTCTAGTTTAAAAGTAAAACATAATTATTTAAATAAAAAATAAAGGTAAAGAATTGGAAATATAATACTTATATTAGGTTATGATATATTTTATATTATATATTCCTACTTTAAAAATATTTTAGTTCGTATTTTACTTATTTGAACACTATTTGAATACTTGTTTGAGAATTAATTTATTCATTTTTCATAATTATAAATAGTCTTAAAAAAGTTTCGGGGGTGCTGGCCTCGAACCCCGGCCTTACTCCTTACTCTAATATCGCCCCCGTCACAATATTCATGGATGGTACACTCATCCCATGCCTTTTAAAAAAACATTTTGCTACTTGGAACATGCACTTATTTATTTTGTGTTGGAATGCATGAGTTCGACCCTTTCTGTGTTAAGTGTTGACTCACAGGTTTTGATAATTGACAAACACAAATTATTCAAGTCAAGATCAAAGTGCTACAACGATAAACACGAAGACTTGAGGTACCATTCCTTGAAGTATTCAAGAAGGTGCACAGGATTTTATTAGAGTTCGAGTCGCGTTCGTGCGCCTAACGGAGGACTCGGAGGAGTAGAAGATTTCCGAAGACTTTTTATTTATTTGAGTCGTAGGAATTATTGTAAGGATGACAAAAATATCTTCTCTCCAAAATTATTTTTATGAGAGTTAAAATAAAAATTATATTTATTTTTGGAGTCAATTGAAAAATCTTTTTAACTGTTCAAAATAGATTTATTGAGTCAGTTACAAAAAGTGTGTCAAACATTTATCAAAATATTTATTTTGATATTATAACATATTTTTGGTAAGCAAAATTATTTTATTCAAATATTTTTCCTGTATTTCGTTAGACACACAAAATATTTTTGGGACTCAATTTCTACACTCCAAATATCCTTCATTTGTTCAAAATTTATTTTTGAATTATGTTTGAGGTGATGGGGAGCCTTACCCCTGATATTCTTGTTGGAAACAATCACATAAACTCCATTTTGTCCTTCACCTCGCCCACATGCTTGTGTTCTTCGTGTCTGGGCATTATTGTTGCAATAATCGATTTTACCTCTAGAATTAATCGATTATCGCGTCCAGAAGGAACTAATCGATTAACACCTTTGGCTTTAATCGATTATCACTTTTTTGCGCAGAAGGATTTTAGCTCTGGTGAAATTAATCGATTTTTTCACTTGCATTAATCGATTTTTATGATGCATTAATCGATTATGGTGATGCATTAATCGATTATTTTGCTGCATCTTTTCTGCACAGCTTGTTTTCTTGGACCAACGGATATATTCCTTCACCTCCTATTTAAACACACTTTCTTGGTCATCTTTACTATGAACAAGCACTCCTAAACTCCCCCAATCTTGAGGTTATAATCCTCCATTCATTTCTTCCTCAAATTGATATATTTTGAGAGAAAACTAAGTGTTTTCAAGAGAGTGTTCTTGTCATCCATAGAGTTTTAATCATTTCTCATTTCTACTCTTTTGAGAGCTATTGTTGAGAGGTTGAAGAAGATTTTTCTTCTTGTTGTTCAAGACTTATATGACTTAAGTCTTGGTTGTGAAGTCTTGTAGAGAGCATATCTACAAGCGGTTGTGTCGAGGCTTGTGGGATTCAAGTTCTCGAGTTGTAAACGGTTTGTTAAGCACCCGTAAGCTTAACGGAAGTAGTGGTAGCTTCGAGAGAGTCTCTCGGGGAACTGGACTAGCCACGAGGTGGTGAACCAGTATACATCGGTGTGTTCTTTGCCTTCTCTCTTTTATTTCCGCTGCACTTACGATTATATTATTAATCCTGCGAAAATCGGTAATCATTCTCAACAACTCTATTCACCCCCCNGTAGAGAGCATATCTACAAGCGGTTGTGTCGAGGCTTGTGGGATTCAAGTTCTCGAGTTGTAAACGGTTTGTTAAGCACCCGTAAGCTTAACGGAAGTAGTGGTAGCTTCGAGAGAGTCTCTCGGGGAACTGGACTAGCCACGAGGTGGTGAACCAGTATACATCGGTGTGTTCTTTGCCTTCTCTCTTTTATTTCCGCTGCACTTACGATTATATTATTAATCCTGCGAAAATCGGTAATCATTCTCAACAACTCTATTCACCCCCCCTCTAGAGTTGCACGCCTTGTCTAACATTTTGTTGGTAGAGTTTAATTCTCCTGTTATTTTGGGAAGATAAAACACTATGGAGAAAACTAGATATATTGCTAGTCTAAGTTCTTTGTGAAGAATTGTTATTTTCTATTGAGAAATAACGGAGGGCGATGCCTCGTATAAATAGTTACAGAAGATTCTTAATTACGGAAGGGAACTTATACATGTAAACTACCATAATTACAATGATCACATAATTAATATTAAATATATACATAACATATTTAACATGCACCCAACTACGTGACCGGCGAAGGACGGACGCCAAGACTGTGTCTGAAGTCGGAGAAGAGAAGAGACGAAAGCCCTTTAGTGAAAATATCTGCATACTGGGAAGAGGAGGGGACATGTAGTACTCTGACATGCCCTAGGGCAACCTTGTCTCTAACAAAGTGGGTGTCGACTTCTACGTGTTTAGTGCGCTGATGCTGTACTGGGTTTGATGATAGATACACGGCACTAACGTTATCGCAAAAGACCAGTGTAGCACACCCAGGGGTTGTTGAAGCTCAAGGAGAAGATTTCAGACCCAGCTTGCCTCAGCTACGGTGTTTGCCACGACACGATACTCGGCCTCAGCACTAGAGCGGGAGGTGGTGGCCTGGCGCTTGGAGGACCATGAGATGAGGTTGTCTCCAATGAAAACACAATACCCCGAGGTGGAGCGACGAGTGTTGGGGCATCCAGCCCAATCAGCATCGGAGTAGGCCTGCAAGGAATCAGTGCCCGTATGGTGAAGGGTGATGCCATGAGTAGCAGTGCCATGGATGTAGCGTAGAACCCTCTTCATAGATGTGAGATGGGTGCTGCTGGACTGCATATGTAAGATCAGGCTGAGTGAAAGTGAGATACTGTAAGGCGCCGACGATGGATCTGTATATGGAGGGGTCTGGAAGTGGTGTACCGGACGTGGCTGAGAGCTTTGCTTTGGTGTCGACTGGTGTGGAGATGGGCTTGTAGTGGAGCATATCGGCACGTTCCAGGATTTCATGAGCAAACTGTGTCTGGTGAAGAAAGAGGCTGCCGCCAGTGCGCTGGACATTAATCCCAAGGAAAAAATTGAGGTCCCCCATATCTGTCATGGCGAACTCTCCCTTAAGTTTTTGAGTGAGGCAAGTGAGAAGAGCAGAGGAGGAGGTTGTGAGAACTATGTCGTCCACATAAAGAAGAAGATAAGCCGTGTCAGAACCATGAGAGTAAACAAAGAGGGACGTGTCACTTTTGCAGCCCCGGAAGCCCAAAGTGAGGAGGAAACTTGCAAACCGGTGATACCAAGAGCGCGGGGCCTGCTTGAGGCCATATAGGGCCTTCTTCAACCTGCAAACATAATGTGGGCGTGTGGGATCCTGAAAACCTGAGGGCTGGCAGGCGTAGACTGTCTCGTGGAGTGTACCATTCAGAAAAGCATTCTTGACATCTAGCTGATGGATCGGCCAGCCGCGAGCTAGAGCATGAGTGAGAACATTCCGTACCGTGGCTGGTTTAACAACAAGGCTAAATGTCTCGTCGTAGTCGATGCCATAGCACTGATTGAATCCGCGGACCACCCATCGAGCTTTGTACCTGGACAGTTCACCTGTAGGACCAAATTTGTGGCGAAAAAGCCACTTTCCAGTGATAATATTTTGTGAGGGGGAGGGGGGTACTAATTCCCATGTTTCATTTTTAATCAAAGCATTAAATTCATCACACATAGCATTGTACCAATTTTGATCCTTCAGTGCATTACGAAAGGTGGGTGGGAGTGGAGAAATTTGGGCCATGAAGTTAAGGTTGAGGATATGTTTGGGTTTGGATATGCCGACTTTGGACCGGGTGACCATAGGGCGGGTGGTTTTAAGATTGGGTTGGGGGAGCTGCTGGGCCGAAGTGGGCTGAGGAGGGGGGAGGGATTTGGGCTGCTGNTGTCCGGAGGGCTGCCCGAGGGTGTTCCATGCATTCGATCTAGAGCTACGACCACGACCACGACCCTGAGATGAACCGCCACGGTGCCGGGAGTAATGCAGCTGCTGGCCGAAGCCTCCCCCGCCGCTGGAATCTGACCGCCCGCCACCTGCGCTGTCTTGCCGCCGCGGGCCTCCACTACTGGCGTAGAACGTCGTGCCGCCATCCCCCGTGACGCTCCCGACGCCCAATTCAGCCCGTTGTTCTTCAATTTAGAGAAGGGCCGAGCGTGTTTGGAGAAAGGTCGGGGGAGGCGTTTGGTATTGAAGAAATGACGTTTGTGCTCGAAGATCATCGGGGAGGCCACGTAAGACTTGAAGAAAAAGTTGTTGTTCGGAGACGATGGCATCTACATCATCCAACCAATCCGCAAGATTCCTTAGGGTTTGACAATAAGCAGCGATGGAGAGAGAACCCTTCGTGGTGGTGCGGAATTGGTGTTCAAGTTGCATCGCCCGGGCCGGCTTGTTGTCGTGGAAGATTTTATAGATGGCTTTCCATAGCTCGGATGCGGAGTTTGTTGTGGAGAGAACAAGATCACAAATTTCATCATTAACCGTTGAGAGAATCCAACCATGTATGAGAGCGTCAAGTTGGAACCATTCCGAATCGTCGGCGCTAGATGGAGACGACTTGCCGGTGAGGAAGTCACCCAAGGAGAACCTTCGAATGAGGAGGAGGAAGAGCCGGCTCCACTTTTTGTAGTTAGGCTCGGAGAAGCTTAGGAGAATCGACACGTGGAGTTTCACGTTAGAGATCGTCGTGAACGCCAAGTGTGGAGTTGGGGAAGAGGACGTCGCGCCGGTAGCCGAGATCTTCTCGGACATGATGATCGGTGAGAGGAGGGGGTTGCTCGGAAGGTCGCCGAGAAGGGACAACGCCTGCAGCACTGCCGTGGAGGAAGGGAAGGGCGGTTGTCTGCTGGTCGGCCGAGAGAGGAGGAGCGACGGCGCGGCTAGGGTTACGCCTGCGCTAGGTCGGACGAGAGACGGAGAGCAACGAGAGGCTCCGATACCATAAAGAATTGTTATTTTCTATTGAGAAATAACGGAGGGCGAAGCCTCGTATAAATAGTTACAGAAGATTCCTAATTACGGAAGGGAACCTATACATGTAAACTACCATAATTACAATGATCACATAATTAATATTAAATATATACATAACATATTTAACACTTTGATTCAGAGTAGCTTCAGAAAGTTGAGTGGATTGTTGCTCTATGTGCTCAACCTTGGCTCTCATATCATCAAGATAGTGTTGGTAGACATATGAGATAAAACCCCATAGTGCCACCAACAATGAGATCACTTTAATTTGACACCAGTCTTCGTATCCTTGAAAACGAAGACCGCCATAAGAGGAGGGTTGGGCAACCCTAAGATGGCAACCACATTAGAGAGCAAAGCCGAAACCTTGACGATGAGCCCGAGCGACCCGACCGTGAACACCTATCATCCCACCGCGGTCCCTACCAAGTTCCTCGCATACGACACCATCCCCGTCGTAACTCATTCATCTCCTCCCCTCAAACCCCTCCACTCCCCGCTCACGAAGAGCCCCATGAGCGTCGCGAGGGACCCACGGCTGACACGCAGATTGACATTTTGACGACGAGCCGAAACGTCTCTTTCTAAACTATAGGGGAGGGGGGGTCTGGTTGTACATGATACAAACATGTATCCAAAACGACTAAACTATGAGTGAAATATAGACATAGTAATAAAATAAATGTTTCATATATTTTTAATCTCCGAAATACATGGCTTCATGGAACAAGTTTGGGCACAGAATCTAAAACAATAATTAAGGACTGAGGGATGGAATATATGTTTGATTTTACTTTTGACATGCAAAAACTCTAATTGATAAGTGGATAGACATTAGCTTTTTATAGAATAACAGTAAAGTTGGCTATCTTTACCTGGCATTTTCATGTCCAAAATGCTTCTCACTACTGCCATGGCCATATATGGAGCTTGGGAGAAATATAGCAGTCAGTGTTTTAATTATTTGGAATGGCTTTGTTTTATACTCAAGTATATATGTAGTGTAATACTCCATAATTTAATGAACATATTTTTGTTGTTAAACTCTTTTCTTTTAATTGCTTCCCCCACTTAAATGCGCCTATGTTGACACCTCACATTGTCACTTGCACGCACGTATAAATGTGAGGGTGTTTACTTAGACCCCATTTGACATCAGCGTGCGTTAGATGTTAGTGTTAGCATTTTGAAAATGCTGTACGATGATAGCATTTAGCGTTGCACCATGTTTGGTTCAAAAAATTTGAAAGGGAAAAGAAAAAAAAATGTAGTGGAAAGTAGTTTTTGTTGTTTGGTTAGAGAGGAAAAGAAAGAAAAATTAAAAGGATAAAAGAATGAGAAGACAAAATGTATATACTAAGCGGAGGAGAAAACCAAATTTCTTGAACCAAGCATAGTGTTAGAATTTTCAAAATTAATCAACACCATTAAATTTTTATCTAAAGTCTAACGCCAATCGAAAATGATGTTATAAAATTTACTATTTTTAAGATGAAATGTTCCGTATCTTATTGCACTTCATTGATTATTTTCTTTATAATATAAGGTTTTCTAAATTTCTAATGAGGCTAGAAATGACATTGAGAAAGAGAAAATACACAAAATAGGAGTATAATATACTCCTAATTTTGGTAGCATTTATTCTAAAAATAAAAATAACATGTTTTATCTCTAATACGGTGTATATAATATAGAGCATTGTATTATGACAATGTGATACTATATTATGATATTTTATACTCCGCCTCTCTCTCATACTCCCTCCGTCCCCCTGTATTTATCCACTTTCATTTTTACACACCATCCAATACACTTCTTTAAACCATTTTATCTTGTAATTTGTATATTAAAAAATTATAGAAATTATATATTAATAATCTATATGTTAAGACAAATCAAACAAGATCACACATGACTATATTTAGGCTTACACATTGAGAGAATTTGATGAGTCAAAGTGCTTATATAAACAGTTCTAAAAGTCAAATGTGGACAAATACAGGGGGACGAAGGGAGTACATTTCTTTTCGTTTGTCTTTTCATGATTTTCAATGTAACATTTTTTTTATTAATATCTTTATTGGTATATTCATAGATTATAAAAATATGACATTTCAAACTATGTGTCGAAATGAATCTATTGATGATATATTTATTTCACAACTCAATATATTTTTACCATAATTTATTATCAAAGTAAAAAACATTTGATCGCAGAAGTCAAAACAAGAAAAAAGATATGGGACGGAAAAGTAATTTTTTTATATTATTCCATCCAATTCCACTTTCTTTATACATTTTCATCAATCATTTAATAAAACAAAACATTGTCACCAACTCACCGCTTATTTTGTAAAACTTTTGATTTAGTTTCTTAATATTCAATTTTTTGCTTTTAAATACTACTCAGATTTTTAATTATATTAGTTTGAAATTAGCTTTAGTCAAATATCGTAAATTGAATAGGAGACCTAATTTAAAAGGGAGGTTGTCCTTCTTATGTCTTTTCTAAAAATGAAATTACCCCAAATAGTATTAAAACATAATTTTTACCTCAAAATATAAGTTCTATATTTTTATCACCGAAATATGAATTTACGTTGTAACATTGTGTCCTTGTATATTGTCATTTCATAATGTTTTTTGGTATTATATGTTGATAATATTGTCATTGTAACTTATTTTTCAAGATAAAAAACCTGAAACTCTTATTTTAGTACTTTCTACTTTCTTCATATTTTACTTCTATATCAGGATGTGTTTGGTGAGCAAGGAATATTGAGTTTTCATATTTCCAGATATTAGAATTCTTTTTGATTGTTTGGTGAAGCAAAAAAAGATATCGAATTTGATATCTCTAGATATCATAAATTTTATAAGGAAGAATTACCTCAAATAATTCCACCTTTTCGCATTCTTTCAAAAATAATCCCACCTTTCCACATGTGTGCGAGTTTTGGATTACCGTTAAAAAACGAACGGCCACTTAACATATTTTTTTGAAAATTCCTGTTTTTCGCAAATAAATGAAAGGTGAGATTATTTTAGGCAACTTTACTTTTTTACTTTTTTTTTATTTTAAATTTGAAATTAATACTTTTAAAAACATAACACTATACTCTTGTTAGAGATTTGTCTAGGAATTTATAAATTTTGTTTTCTGTTCTGGGAAAATATAATATTGAATTATCTAAAATAATTCAGAGTACCGGCCAATTAAGAAAGAAATTGCAATACAAAAAAATTGTAGTGAGTTATAAAATTTATAAGTGCTGCTTTGGAGAAAAAAAATTGTGCCATTCTCCCAACTTTTAAATTACTAATTTGGGGAAAAATTTATACTGAAATATCACAAAAATTACAAATTAGGTAGTTCCATTTTAGAAAAAAGAAGATTATCAATAAATATTTTGGAGTGTTGTTCAGTAAAAAATTGTAATATAACAGAAAATTAAGTGAGTTATAAAAATAAAAGTTCCATTTCAGAGAAAAAAAGTTGTGTTATTTTCACAATTATTGCAATTTTGTTTTGCAAAAAATATTTGTATAGAATTATCGAAACATATTCACAAGTTTTGTAGCGCCATTTTCAAGAAATAATAATAATATAGTATTAAAAACAATTTGAAGTGCCGCTCAAAAACAATTGCAGCTTACAAAAAAATGCAGTGAGTTATGAAGATAATAAAGTAGCTCTATTGTGTAGAATAATTTATTTTTTAATTATTTCAAGATTATTGGTTATTGAAAAGACAATTAGTTTCACTCTAAGAAATACTTACATTTAGTATTATTTTTTCAAAAAAATTAAAAAAATGAAAAAAGAGAATTTACCTAAAATAATCCCACCTTTCATTTATTTGCGAAAAACTACATTTTTCAAAAACTCTATTAAGTGACAATTAGTTTTTTAACAGCAACCTAAAACTCGCACACATGCGGAAAGATGAGATTATTTTCGCTGAAAGTGAAAAAGGGGATTGTTTTTGAAAGATCACGAAAAGTGGGATTATTTAAGATAATTTTTCCATTTTTTAAATGGAGGATTTCGATAATTATAAATTTTTCAATACAAATTCGATTTATATTTTAAAAACTCATATCATTTCTTCCAGATTTCAAAACTTTTATCTTATCATATCTACGAAACTTACCTAATGGGTCCTTAGTATTTTTTTGTATCTAGATTAAAATACGAAGATTCTATTTTTTTGGGGTTTTGATTAGGGATGACAATTCCATCCGAATCCGACTTTTACCGACCCGACCGGAGCTTATTATATCCAAATCCGAACTGAAAAAAATTAAACCGAACCCGACTTTTGTTGGGTTGGGTTTGGTTTAGTATATTTAATCGACCCGACCTGTACCCGAACCGACCCGACATGTACCCGCCTTTCAATAAGTTTTTAAAAAATCTAATTAAATTCCTATATTCCATGTATTTTTATGCACATATATTTTTAATGTTTTAAAACTTATTGCATTTTTTGGGTTTCATTTTTTATTGTGGTTTAATATTGTGTGTCCCACATGTGCTATTTTCATTGTACTCCATATATTATTAATTGAAACTTAATATCGTTTATTCCGCACGCGCGGAAAGATGGAGCGGTTGCGGATTTCTAGTCTGACGTCGCCCCCAACGGGATCAGACGGCTGCCGTTTGATCTCTCTAGTTTCACCAAGTGCCATTTCTACCCCGAAAAGACATGTGCCCAAAACGCTTTCGTCCGCTCCTATTTTGCCTTCCTAGACCAGAAATTCGCAACCGCTCCCTCTTCCCGCGCATATGGAACAAACAAGAGTACTTTGACATCTTTAAGGGTTATTTGGTCATAATTATTTTTGTTAATATCTTAAATTTTAAATCATATTTAAAATTTTTAATTTCTAATGCATTTCAATCTTAAATTTTTCATGAATACTTTAATTAGTATTCAAACCCAAAATTGACCGTAACCGACCCGACCGAATCTTAAACCGAATCCGAACCGAAAAAATAAATATTCGAAACCGACCCGCCAAGATCAAACCCGAACCCGACCTAAGTTAGGTCGGGTTTCAATATACTAACACCCGACCGAACCCGACCCGTTGCCATCCCTAGTTTTGATCAACCATGCTATAATTACACAAAGAAGTATATTCCATAGTTACACCAAAGATATGCTCTAACATTTTGATGGTTTACACTGAGACAAAGTGCTAGTATAATACTTCCTCCGTCCTAAAATTTTCTTCCCAGAGCACTATTCCAACTTCACGGGAATTTATATTTATTTGTGTTTTTTCATGGCCTATATGATAAAGTAAAATATTCTTGTCACCACTTGTTTTGTTGAACTTTTGATGTAGTTTTTAAATATGTATGTTTTATTTTTATACTAAAATTTAAATAAAATAGATTGAAAAAACTTGGAATTTTTCTTCATTTTGCGCAACGGGAAGAAAGTTTTAGGACGAAGGGAGTATAAAAAAATTATATTAACACTTTTGCATGTGTGAACCATCATCCTAACATTACAGTAATATAAAATGTAGGCACACACCAATCCTATACCATTTGGAGTACAAAATTTTGGATAAAAAGAGCTTAATACCCCCTCATGTCCCAAAATGTTTCCCACATTTCCTTTTTTTCAATAATCACGAGAATTTTTGTTTATTTATATGTTTTCATTGATTATTTGATAAAATGAAATATTTTTGATACCTTTTATTTTAATATTTTTTCATGTAATTTTTAAATATATAAATTTTGTTTTCTATTTCTATACTACTCCGTAATATTTAAATAAATGAATTAAAAAAACTTTATTTCATCTCCTCTTGGAGAATGCTGTAAACATTTATATAGTGAGGCGGTGAGAGCATCTCCAACCATTGAGTTTTGGCTTGTTAAATGTTATTATTTGGCAATCCATTTCAATTTTTGTGCTCCAAGGGGCTTGTTATAGTATAACATACTTGGTAAATTTTAACTTTGGCTTGTTATATATAACAAGCCTCTCAAAAAATAGCAAACCATGAAATTGATTAAATATATGATTTCTCTCTTCTTTTCTCTCATTCTCCTTCTCAAATATAAAATTACTTCTACTCTCTAATTTTTTGTTTTTGTAATTTTTTTCTCTACTCTTTAATTGGTATTTGTTAAATATTTAAAATAATACTCCGTATATTTTATTACTTTCCCTAAAGTATGTAAAATAATACTCCACATTGTTTTTTGAAATTATTATTTTTAAATTACATATTTATTACTAAATTTTTATAATATAAAATAATAATTGAATAATTATTATAAAGAGTGTATTATAATAGGAAAAACAATACTACCTCCGTCCCGCTATATTCGTCCACTTTTGACTTTTGGAACTGTTCATCTAAGTACTTTGACTCATCAAATTTTCTCAATGTGTAAGCCTAAATATAGTCATGTGTGATCTTGTTTGATTTGTATTAACATATAGATTATTAATATATAATTTCTATAATTTTTAAATATACAAATTACAAGATAAAATGAATTAAAGAAGTGCATTGAATGGTGTGTAAAAATGAGAGTGAACAAATATTCTGGGAGGGAGGTAGTATAATATAATTGTTAGCTAAATTATAGCAATGCAAAAGGGCTAATTGTTAGCTATAATTCTAGTACTTTTTTCATTCGGAACTTGGAAGACGACTGCATGGTGGACTTTCATTTACTTTACTCTTTGTATTGAATCATTCTTCTGCGGTTCAGGTGACAATGGCGAGGGCCACTCAGCTCCCCTGGGAGATAATCGTAGAGACTCTCTGCCGATTGCCGGTGAAGGATCTTCTGCGGTTCAGGTCGGTGTCCAAGTCATGGCGCTCCCTGATCGACAGCCGCGATTTCATCAAGCTCCACCTCAAGCACTCGCCGGAATCCACCTCCCACCACCGCCACCTCGGCCTCATCTTCGGCGGCAGCAACGACCTCTGCTGGGCCGCCTTGTCCGATCTCAATTCGTTCACGCGACTCGCTTACCCGATCGACATCGGAACGGGAATCGTCGTTGTCGGATGCAGCCACGGATTGCTCGCGCTCATGAACTCCAAAGGAGATATGGCGATCTGGAACCCTTTCACTCGGAATCGGAGGTACATTAATTTGCCCATATCTGAGCATACTAGTTGTTATCCGTACCAGATTTTCGAAGTTCTCCTCACTGGATTCGGATTCGATCCGGTTTCCGACGATTATAAGTTTGTATTGATGATCAAGTACAATGGCATAATCGTTCAATCCACTCACCTGGAAGTCAAGGTTTACAGTTTAAAGACCAGGATCTGGAAGAAATTTGATCATTTCCCTGATAAATACACTTACATCCGCGACAATGGCCTCCAATTCCGTGATGCTTTGCACTGGTTGGTGGATTTGAATCCGGAGAAATCCGAATCTATACTTGTGTTTGAGCTTGGGTCTGAAAAATTCAGCCAGATGTCGCTGCCGGATTACAAGGGGATGGAGTCCGCTAGTCTTTTGAGGCTAGTGAATCTGGGAGGGCGTTTTTGTGCTGCAATGCTGCAGACAGTGCCTAACTATGACCATTTGCTTGAGTTCTCCGTGCGGATTGATGTGTGGGAGATGAAAGAATACGGAGTTAAGGAGTCTTGGGCTAAGTTGTTCTCTGTGGATGCTTCAAACGCAGGGGGTCCGTTTAGATCTTCAGTCCCGGTCGCGTATTTGCAGGATGATGGTGGTCAGGTTTTGTTGCTGCAGGATGGTGATAAGCTCCTAGTGTTTGATGTGAAAAGAGGGAGGGTCAAGAAAAGAGTGGGCTCTGGTTTTCCATTCATCTGTGATGCCATTGTTTATGCAAAGAGCCTGGTGGGACTCGATTTTGAAGAGACAACTTGGGGCCAAGAAGGGAAGAAGAAGGGCAACGACGGAAAGAAGAAGAAGAAGAGTGGTAAAAAGAGGTAATTATTATACTCCGTAATTTTTACTAAAATATAACCAGTAAGTTTTAACTAATACCTTACTGCATTTTGGGTTCTACTTTGGTTTTGAGTAGAGATGATTTCCTTTCAAAAGGATTTAAACTGGTGTTGTGAATGGTCAATGGAGGATCAAGAAGAGAACATGAGGTATCATTATTAATGCTTATAAGAGTTGTTTTAATTTAATGATATTTTTTCCCTAATTATATGCAGTATTTAAATAGCGTGTAGCGTATAAAAAATGGGAGTATAAAAAAATGTATTATAACGTGTAGCGTTTCGCGGTTTCCGGCGGGTCGGAGCGTTTTCCGGCTAAATCCGGCGAAATTGACCGTGGGCACCAACTCCAATGCGGTCGTGGCATCCGGGCGACCTCCAAGGACCCCTCAATTGCAAGATTTGATGAAGATTTGCAAAACCCCCAATTTTGGATCCAATTTCGAATTTTAGGGTTTTTTCGAGTAGAAAAATTCAGATTCGAGAAGTTACAGGCCAAATTAGACAAAATGGTTTGGATATTATTGATCCTCGTCTCAAGACGAAGAGAATGACATTGGTCCCGCCGNTTAACACTATGTTTGGTTCAAGGAATTTGAGAGGGAAAGGAAAAGAAAATGAGAAGGAAAACATTTTTTCTTGTTTGGTTAGAGAGGAAAAGAAAAGAAAAGTGGAAGGAAAAGAAAATGAGAAAGCAAAATGTATTAAGAGGATGGAAAACCAAATTCCTCCCATTTTGGTGAGGAAACTAATGGAAAACCATTTTCTTTTCTTTTCCTTCCAAATTCCATGAACCAAAGATAGTGTAAGTATTTGATAAAATAAAATATTCTTGTCACCTCTTATTTTGTAGAACTTTTGACGTAGTTTTTTAATATGTAATTTTTATATCTTATTGATATACCAATTTGTAAATAAAATGATTTCAAAAAATATGAAGTTTTACTCCGTAACCCGCAATTTGTAATCAAATTGGGGGCGGAGGGAGTATTAATTACTTATTTAGGAGCGACCCAGTCTCTTGAGCCGACCCTTAGCCCAAACCAGGCATGAATCTGCTACTTGCCCTAACCAGCAACAAGCAACAACCCACTGGCGACGGTCACCGGTGGATGGTTACCGTATGGAAGATATCCTGCCTCTGCACAGCCAACAACGAAGACCAGCGTCTCTGGAGACGTGATAGCTCCGGCCTCCCAAGCGGCTAGGTCGTGGCAGAGCGTGAAAATCCGAGCTACAGGTTTGAATTTGGACATTAAAACAGTTGAATAATCTTCAATGGGAGTCCACCCTTAGGCGGATGGAGTATACCAAGCTCATGTTGTGCCGTCTCAACTGCCAAGATCCAGCCTCTATCAATTGAACGTGTTTGGCGTACCTCTAGTGTGTTGTACAGAAACGAGTTTGAGAGAGATGGAAAGCTAGAGGACATAAAGGCCGTGACAATGGGCTTGAACAAAGTCACGTTACTACACTGCTTCACGCTAGAGCCCTTCAGTAACTACCACTTTTTTGGAGGCAAATTTGATGCTTTTGAACTATCATTATTGCTCACTCTCAAATGCAAAAGGACAGAATAAGTGGCTTATGTGGATGACATTCAAGTGGGATATTCAAGCAAGCCACTGGCGGGCCCTCATGTTTGAATTATGGGGGATTTTTTTCCCTAATCATATGCATCAACATGAAGGTTAGCAACTATCGTTCTCCAATTATTGTTTACACATTAGGGCGCTCGTATTTCCTAAAGGAAAGGAGGGCTAGATTCAATATTAATTGATGGCCCATAAGTGAGATAAATCTGTCAAGTGGTACCATTATTATGCTCAGCTTGATACAAAGGGATTATATTCAAAGTTTATACCAATGATGGGAGACCCATACTCAATTCATGTTCTGTACAAATTTTTGTTGCAGCTCTATTTGAATCAACTTCATCAATTAGCAAAGTATGGAGCATTCGGCTCCATTTAAAATTGGATAGACGCAAGTAGCCAAAGGAAGGTCCACTAATTGGGGTTCGCCGCCATGGGTACCCTTCGTGAGTAATGCCCAACTTCGTAACTATTTACCGTCACTGATTTGGCCTCTTCACCCGGGTCCGGAGTGGACTCTATATTTCTCACTCTCCTCTTGTGCATCTACGCCAAGATCACATCCGGTCGAGTACGTGACATTTTTAGAGGCCGAGTTTGTAATTTCTAGTAGAGCTTGAACCGCATGGGAGCATGACCGAGTCCGAGTTCAAGATCATGCTGAAGTCTGAGTTCGCCCAACAGTGTTATGAAGTCCAGTTCGGTGGTGGTGCTCTTAGCCGGTCGAGTCTGCTGATGCCGAGTGTACCATGTTCGGCCGGTGTCTTTTCTAATTCCAAATAACTTGAGGGGCCTTGTGAAGTTTTTTTTGGCTTTCTCTTCATACGACAGAGTTCATTTCATGTCCTGATATCCGAGTACGATGATATCCATCACCTCTGATCTCACCAGGTTGCGACCCGCCTTCACGATTTAGCTCAGTTATGCACCAACTACTTATCTAAATGATTCCTGCTCAAATTTGCGCCACATATGCTTCTACGATTGGGATTCTTCATCAATACTTACATGATGTAAGCCCGATGTGTACGGTCCGCGACTCCAGCCAAAGACCTCACTCGGCACAACTACTTTCAAGAGTAAGCCCGATGTTGACAATACCCAGCTCTGGTCGACTCTCACTCGACCTCCTCGGGCAAGCCCCATGTCGTACTCTTTCGCTAAGACATTGGCTCCTCTTAAGAAGTCCTTGCAGGGGGGAGACGAATCCTGAAGTGCGCACTTCGGGAGGGCGCTCTAAAGAGACGAAGAGTAGATCCCCCAGAGGATCGCGATCAACCACCTCGCCACTTGAAGGCCCTCACCTAACAAGTGTCCTTTAGGGGGAGCCGAATTCCCACGAGCCCGAGAAGGGCGCTCTGAACGAGGTGAAGAACATGGTCCTGCTTAGGACAAAGTCATCAGCGCCATGCCGCTCCAACACATAAAAAAGAGAGAAAAAGAGGCAATAAAAAAAGAAAGAAAAGAAACGACAAAGGAATTTTTCATATTTTGTTTTCAGGTACAAAGTGGAAGACCTCATGACATATTCAACCCGAGCCCGCTTAGTAGAGCTCACAGATGGCACATTATTTCACCCTTTTCTTGAGGTCGGCCTTAGCCACCTTGCAAGTTGCTTAAGCCCTTGTCTCCCGAGGCAACCAAAAGCCCTCTCCCGAGGTCGATCCTAGCCACCTCACGAGGCACTCAACTCTTTTCCCAAGGTCGGCCTCGGTCGCCTCACAAAGAACTTAACCCTCGTCTCCCGAGGCAACTAAAATCCATCTCCCGAGGTCGGCCCCATCCACCTCACGAGGCACTCAAGCCCTCGTCTCTCGAGGTAACTAAAATTCCTCTCCTGAGGTCGGCCCCATCCACCTCACGAGGCACCCAAACCCTCGTCTCCTGAGGCAACTAAAAGCCTTCTCCCGAGGTTGGTCCTAGCCACCTCATGAGGCACTCAACTCTTTTCCCGAGGTCGGCCTCAACCACCTCGTAAGGCACTTAAGCCCTCGTCTCTCGAGGCAACCAAAAGCCCTCTCCCAAGGTCGGCCCCATCCACCTCACGAGGCACTCAAGCCCTCGTCTTCCGAGGCAACCAAAAGCCCTCCCCCGAGGTCTGTCTCAGCCACCTCACAAGGCACTCAAGCCCTCGTCTTCCGAGGCAACCAAAAGCCCTCCCCCGAGGTCTGTCTCAGCCACCTCACAAGGCACTAAAGTTATCTCCCAGACAATTCAACTCCTTTCCCGAGGTTGTCCTTGACCACCTTGCAAGGTATTTGAGCCCTCGTCTCACGAGGCATTCGAAGCCCTCTTCCCGAGGCACCCTTCAGTTCCCTCCCAAGGCACACCCCTAGGCCACTCCCTAGGGCACAACCTTAACTACTCACATGGAGGGAGGGTGGGTGGCCTGGCCAAGCTTCTTGGCCAAGTCCATCGGTTTATTTACCTTTGTATGAGATTTTTTCAGGTAAATCAATTTATGAAGAGAAGTCGCAACAGAGCGAGGGGACCAAAGACTCCCACCGGAGCCAAGCATGAGCACTACTCCCTTTCACCTCGGAATTCTTCCTCGGCTTAAGGAGTGGGGGACTTCGGGTACTCGGCTCGTGATTGTTGCATCGCACATCGTGAGAGCTTGGCAGATCAACATCTCGACATAACATTGCACTGCAGAAGTTCGTGTCGGCATGCACTCTTTTGCAATACATTATGACGAACAGTCCTCGACTTCGGACAACGAGTTTTCCTTCACTCGAAGACCTCACACCCTTACATTGTCTTTCTTAGTTCACCTTATGGGACGAGATGTACTCTTTTCTTGACCAAGGATTTTTTCCCATCCTCATGGGTTTTTTTTCCTTGGCAAGTTTTTAATGAGGCATCACCCATGGAGTGAGTCACACATTGACGGGGTTGTGGGGGATCCTTGAAGACGACAAATGGACTACAGATGATGACTCCCTCACCCACTCTTATGGTGATTGTTGTGCGTTGGACAGCAAACCATCGAATCCTTTCAAGAGAATGAGCAAATTATGTGTTTTTTCTCGTTTTGTTGCTCCAGACAGCGAGTTGGCAATGCACCTCGCACTCATAGGTGCAGTTCCTTTCACTTCACCACTCCAAACAGCAAGGCGGCGGTGCACCTCGCACCAATGGGTGCAGTTTCTTTCACTTTGCCGCTCCAGACAGTGAGTCGGTAATGCACTTCATGCTGATTGGTGTTATTTCTTTCCCTTTGCCGCTTTGGACAACGAGTCGGCAGTGCACCTCGTATTCATTGCAAGGTTGCATTACATTTCACATTGATGGCGTTCTTTGCCTTACTGTGGACGGTGAGTTGGCATTACATCTCAGGCTGGTGGCGTTGTTTATACCTTACTTCACTGTGCTCAGGAGAGCGAGTTGGCGGTGCACTCCAGACCGCAAGAAAGACGGTGTCCTATGGTGGATTATTGTTCTACTTCCACTTTGACTCGAGTTCCTCTCGGCTCGGGAAGTGCAGGACTCATGATGGATACCCTGAACATGAGGTATCCGGTCTTTGTATAATATTAGTTAAGGCAGTCCAGTCTGTTGGACCAGCCTGTTAGTCGTATATTAATTACTTATTTAGGGGCGGCTCAGTCTGTGGCTGGCCCATTATTTTATATACGGGCCAAAACCCTAGCCCTTATTCCACCCTTATATATACTCCTCTTTCTAGGAGGAGGAGGAGGAAGGAGGCACAATACATACATATCACACATTATTCATCATCTTCTCCACTCAAATCACACATTTTTCTCCTTCTTCTCTAACTATGGATTCCATAATCCAACATACCTTATTCACAAAATCTGCAGGCTTGAACCAATAGAACGTACTTGGAAAGTTGCTTTTCATTCAAGTTAGCAGTTATAAGAGTATTAGGTGTTGTCTTCATAGAAACTTTCTCGAGTCACCACTCTCGAACTGTCTCTTTGTCTTCACCCTTCTGCCAAAAATAAGTCCTTATCATCGCTTCTAAGCCATCCAAACATATGCCTTTGCTCCCCGAAGTCTTCCAAAAGAAGCCTTCTTTCTTTATTTTTTTGGGGGACGGCCCCCCTTTAGCAAACATATACCAAACTTCAAACATATACCAAACTTCAGTTGGCCTTTTGTATTTAGCTACAAAACATAAGCTTAGGTCATGCCCAAAACAAATTCTTGAGGAAATTAAATTTGTTCACAAGACCTATCATTATTGAATGTCACTTTGATAGAGGCATACCACCATCTCATTGTCATTTTTACTGCTACTTATGAATCATGGGGAAGCTTGCTTCTTAGCATTCAAAAGCCAATGGAGAAGCTCACCATCTCATTATTACGTACTCCCTCCGTCCCAAATTATAATGCCTGTTTACTATTCACAGGGTCAAACTCCATTCACTTTCTTTCTCTATTTTCGTTAGCAATGTGATAAAATAAAATATTTTTGCCACTACTAGTTTTGTAGATCTTTTGATGTAGTTTTTTAATATGTAATTTTTATTTTTTAATTCTATACCATTTGTCATATAAAATGGTTTGAAAATAATTTCAGTCAAACATCGTAAACCGAAACAGGCGTTATAAAATGAGACGGAGGTAGTATAATAAAGTTCAGTTTCTGTCACACTTAAATTGTCTTGGCATAGAACACATGTTACTATCAAACACATCTATCTTAATATCTGTGGTCACTGCATGGTGACGTAACACTACATTCTCCAAAATTCTACCAAAGTTTCAAGGAATCATATTTCTCGCCAATGTTCTCTTGCCTGAATTTGTAATTTCGGAGTAATATATTTTATGTTCATTGATTACATCTGTACGTTCCCGTTTTTTTCTTTCCCGTAGAAATTATAGAAGAGGCAGATATCAAATCTTGACTAGACACTCAAATTATTTTTATTGCTTATTTTCTGAACACAAAGATGTATTAAAATTATTCTATAAAATCTAATCTCTTTGGTTTAAGGACTGCCAATATTGCACCATTGTTTTCCAATCAAGAAAAATATACATAAACCAGTCAAATTTTTATTTATCAATTATTTTGTTATATTTGCAATAATAGTTTTTGTACAGCCTCTGCCCTGGATGAAGTACTTAATTTTGAATTTCTTCAAAAAATTCTAACATGTGCAAATACTTTGTATTATATTAAGGTGAATTTTTCTGCGGGTTCGAATCGACTGCCACAAACAAAGAATGATATGTGTCAAAATAATAATTCTTCAACAACAACAGTAACACACCTTGTATTTAAGAGGGAATCAAACTGTAGGTTTCAATTTCAAGGTCAAAAATAGGATTGATAGGCGGGGAAATTTTTTTCATCTTTTGTTCTAGATAGACTATCATCTCATCGCGTGTGAGATCAAACTTCAGCCCTTGAGGAAGGGAAAAAAGAACTTCTGCACACAGATTTCGTCAGAGCTTTTCAGATTTTCAAAGTTGATAGTTTTGGATATGTCCAGTGGAAACTCTTTCTCTAGTAGAAACCTTCTTCGACTTGGACGATATTTTGAGTTTAGCCAGACGTCTACAGGGCACAAGTTCATAACTAGTACCTTGAGTCTCAATAAACTCATCGGTGGAGGTGGCGGCCTTAGATGGGGTTGCCATTGCTGATTTGAGATTTAGAGGTGATGTGCAAGAGAGCTATTTTTAAGAGGCCATCAAATTCCTATAAATCTTTGCGCAGTACCTCTAAATCTCAAATCAACAATGTCAACCCCATCCAAGGCCACCGCTGACGACACCTCCACCGCCGAGTTGACTGAGAATTTTTTCCAAACTCAAGGTACTGATTATGAACGTGTGCCCTATGGACATCTGGCTAAACTCGAAATACAGTCCAAGTCGAAGAAGGTTTCTATTGGAGGAGTTTCCACCAAGGACACTTCCTGTATTATCGACGTTGAAAAGCTGAACAGCTCTGATGAAATATGTATGGAGTTCTTTTTTCCCTTTCTCAAGGGCTGAAGTTTGATCTCACACGCGATGATATGATAGTCTATCTGGAACACAAGCTAAGAAACATTCCCGTGCCTATCAATGTTATTCCTGTCCTTGAAATTGAAACCTGCAGTTTGATTCCCTCTGAAATACATGGTGTGCTACTGTTGTTGTTGAAGAATTATTATTTTGACACTTATATCATTCTTTGTTTCGCTAGTTTCAAACCTGCGGAAAAATTCACCCTAATATAATACAAAGTATATGCACATATTAGAATTTTTTTTTGAAGAAATTCAAAGTTAAGTACTTTATCATAATGCGAGATGCACAGGTAGAGGTTGTACAAAAACTTATATCGCAAATCTTACAAAATAATCGGTAAATAAAAATTCGACTAGGCTTTGTATATTTTTTTTGGTTGGAGAAAAATGGTGCAATATTAGTGGTCCTTAAACCAAAGAGGTTAGTTTTTATAAGATAATTTTAATACATCTTTGCGTTTAGAAAAGAAACGATAAGAGAAATAAATTGAGTATCTGCTCAGGATTTGATATGTGCCTCTTGTATAATTTTCACACATAAAAAAAGAAGAAAAAGAGGCAACGTATAGATGTAATCTATAAACATAAAATATAACCACTGCAAAAAATTACAAATTCAGGCAAGAGAACATTGGAGAGAACGATGATTCCTTGAAGGTTTGGTGGAATTACGTCACCAAGCAGTGATCACAGAGAGTAAGATAGATGTGTATGATAGCAACATGTGTTCGATGCCAAGACATTTTAAGTGTTTGACAAAAGCTGAACTTTATTACAAGTAATAATGAGATGATGAGATTCTCCCTTGGATTTTGAATGCTAGGAAGCAAGCTCCCCTAGGATTCATGGGTAGCAGTAAAAAAAGATAATGAGATGTTTGTATGCCTTTACAAAATTGACATTCAATAATGATAAGTCTTGTGAATAAATTTAATTTGCTCAAGAACTTGTGGACATGATCTAAATTTATGTTTTGCAGCGAAAAACAAAAGCCCAAGCGAAGTATGGTATATGTTCGCTAAAGGGGGCTTCGTCTGGAAGGCTACGGAGAGTAGATCCTTCATAGGTTCGAATCACATGGAAGCGTCGATAAAGGCATTTTATTGGAAGAGAAAAAACATAAAGGCAGTTAGGGAGTTGAAACTCGAGGAAGTTTCTATCACGAAAGCACCTGAAACTCGTGTAGCTGTTGCCTTGAATAAAGAGCAACTTTCCGGTTACGTTCTACTGGTCAGGCCTGAAGGTTTTGTGAACAAGGAAAGAAGTAAAGAAGGGGGAGGCAACTGAGGAATGGAAAAGGGTGAATGCTGAAAAATCTTTGGTGATGTTTTATATATCTGTCATATTTGGTTTTTAACAAGTAAATAGTTTTGTGCTGAATTTTTTTGGGTGAATGCCTGGGACAGTTCATATCTCATTTTATTGGTGCATATCTTGATGACTGGCTGGTTTCAAGAATTTCTCCTATAATTACGTCAGAAAAGACTTTAGCGTTGCTCAGGTGATGTTCACTTCAACATCATAACCTCGAATTTCAAATAATTGTAATATGCCTCACTACAATTTGATTTGGAAAATGCTAAAGTCACAAACGTATAGTTCACAAATTTCACAAACTTACCTTTTTTGGATTTTAAATTAAAATATCTTTTATAATTTGAATGCATCTTTTTTCTAGGAAAGTGTTCAAAAGGTAAGTTTGTGAATTTTGTGAACTGTTTGTCTGTAACTCTAGCATTACTCATTTGATTTTGTATATTCTATCGAGATTATGTGACGGTTTAACTTTCTTGTAACATTTTGTTGTGTGGCTCTTAACATAGCTTTCCTTTCTTGAGCCAAAGATTCTCTATTTCTTTTGGCTTTGGGGTACGACACGAAATAAACCAAAATGTAATCAATGCAACTTTTGATGCCATCTCCCGTCACGAGGAAACAGTCGCCCTTTGTTTTAAACATGTGGGTCATGATGTGTATATTTGCCATAGTGCACTCTTTTTACACTGATGGGTTTATGGAACACTTGACATTGCCTACAAAAAAAGACTACATTTTTACTCTTTTTTAGTCAAACTGCTATTATTCCTCACTTTTGAATGACTTCAAGAAGATCAAGACTTTTATGTGATCTCTTTTAGATCATTGTCCTAACCCAACTAGGTCCAAAATATACTTAGGCATAATTTCCTCTTCTTTAAGCCCAACCCATACAAGCCCAAAAACACAAAAATAAGTCTCACTCTTTTTTTCTTATCTCCGCCGAAGCATCAACATCACAATAGTCTCACATTAATAGCTTTTCTTTTCATTTTGTCCTTGGCACAAAATTCAAAGTTTAAACCTCACTACTATGGCACTCATGCGGTGCACAGCTCTTATTCACGTTATTAAATTGTATTTGATCATTTTAAAAAATACGAATTGGTATATAATAGAATATAAAGTTTTTCATTATTTTAAAAGAGGAATATCAAATGAATTACAAATATTGAAAACTTTCTTTTTTAACTATATTACGAGTACAGTTCATGGGAATATCATCTACGTTATATATCAGAATCTTCAAATATTATGATTTGTTACTCTTGAAATTGTAACGTACAGTTATGCATGACTAAATACTATTTTCGTAATAATAATTTTACGTATTTTAGAGATTGGTCTGACTCTTGTTAATCGTATATGAAATAATCACCTCAACGAGTCTTCTTTTAAACTTGAATAGAATTCTTATATCAGACTGCGTTCTCTTCCATATTTTTGTGCAGGTGGAGCCGGGGGTCTCTTGCAAACAGCCTTCCTACTCCCAAGTAGGGGCAAGGTCTGCGTACACACACCCTCCCCAAACCCTACTGTTGTGGGATTCACCTGGGTTGTTGTTGTTGTTGGTTCTTCACCCATGTGTTTTCCAGACCCATGTCTTCCAGATAATAAAATTTATTGAATTTAGTAATTAGCCAACTGGGTTACCATAAATCGTATACCATTACATAAACCCATTGAATGACTAGTGTTTCTCAACAAGATAAGGATGGTTGGCAGTTCAGTCATTTGGAAATTACGTTGTACTTTGATTTTCGTCAATGATTTTTGAAAATGCATATATTGGGTTGTTTATTTAAGCATAAATTTGATTTCTCTGTCAATGCAAGAAGTAAATATTGGCATCATGATGTTGATAAAAAACAATAACAATATATAATCAAAAATGGAGGAGAAACAACCATATAATCGAAAAGAGATCAGAGAAGAATGAACATATTTAATACCAAAAGCATATTATTTATTTATGCTACTTTACCATTTATTTATGTTACTATATATACGTAAGTAATATCCTTTTTTTTTGTAGAATTTATATATTATAATCTATATGGGAGCGAGATCTGTTTTGTACTTGCAGCGATCGTACAACTCGGATTCGCCTAAGAGTATTTCTGTATTTGGTATTGGAAAGTTTCCCCTTCCGTACCTAAAGGCTGTCAAGTTCCATGGGTTTGGGAGTCTGGAAAAGGTTGACGAAAACACCCTTAAGCTTGCGAAACTGCTGCTGAAGAATGCGGAACATGCTGCATGATATTTCGAAACCTACAAAGACTTGAGAGACTCATTTTCTTCCTCCGTTTCTTAGATGCACTTTTTGTAAGTCCAGGGGGTGTTGCTTAGTTGGTAAATACGGGGTGCAAAAAGGCACAACGAATGGGTTTGGGTCCTGGCAACGACGATAAAGGACAACCATGCTTAGCATGAGGTCCTTGCATGTACCGGGGACATATCTCACCCTCTGTTACCCGGTGTAGGATTAAAATTTCATTTTCTGGGTATCCTAGGATGTGGTTCAGCCCTCTTTTATATGCACCTGTTTTGTTGTTCTGCATTCTGAACCTGATTTTCTGAAAGGATATCTCTCATGGAGTTATTGCCCTTATGCACATTTAAGACTCTATACTTGCCAAGTTACTTTTGAATTCGTATATAGTGGAGTAGAGGTGTATACGAATCGAATAAAATCAAAAATATAGATATTCGATTCGTATTTGTTTACAATGATATCTATTTGAATTCGTATTCGATTATAATTCAAATTTTTAAAAATAATTCTATTCGATTTGATAACATATTCAATGTATTCGAATTCATATTTGAATATTGAATTTGAAAACAGTAAAAAAAATTAAAGGCATTTTCTAGATATAGTAAGTTGTTTTTTATAAACTACAAGTAATATAAATTGACAAATTCATAATAACACATCTAAAATGTTACCTAAATTGCTACGAATTTTGGGAGCAAGATGTCCCAAAAATTAGAACAAAAGAGTCTCATAGTCAAATAAAATGTTCCAAATCTCCAAAAACAACATGTAACATAAACAAAATAATACATAAGCCAACAAAACACACATAATACGAAACTCTAGAGTCTAGAAGCTCGGCTAAAGAAGTGAAGACTATAAATGAGGCGACATGCGGAACTCTGAAGTCTTGAGAAAAATAATAAGATTAAGGCTTTTTAAATAGAATAAGATTAGGGTCTGTTTGGGAGAAGGTTTTGAGCACACTTATATTGATTAGGCTTTTTAATCCAAATGCAAATAACCAAGGTGTATTAGACTATTGGGGTATATTTATTTATGTATTTATATTATTCAAATAATTTGAAATATAAACGAAGGTTTTGAGCACACTTATATTTGTATGTTATGATGTTAACTCTAAAATATTAATATTTTAATATCTGGAAAATATTTTTACAATGAAACAAATAATTACAATTTTTTTTGCTAATTTAAAGAAGAAACATTTGTACATATTTTTAAAAATAGTTTGCATGCGCAGCACATATTGTAGTAAACTTGAAGCACTAAAATATTCTATCTGTAATATGCATAAAAAAACTATAATCATTAGTGAACTCCAACTTCAGCTCAAAATTTTGTGAAACACTAAATAGAACCTAAACATATATCTTTTTTTCAATGTAGTACTTAAACTTTTTTATTCTTTAAAAAGTACTTGAATAATGTCTAGTGGATTGAACGATGTCCAGTGATAATGAATATTTATTTTGAACAATGTCCAGTTGCATTAGACATTAATTGAACAATAATCTGAAATAAAAAGATATAGTTTGGGAAAGTTACTAAATTTGGTGGCGAGATGGACATGAGATTTGTTTAGACTTTAGAGAGAAAAAAATTTGCTGTACAATAAAATGGAGCCAAGTTCAATTTTAAAACCATTTTGCCGAAATTAAATTCTCCGAGGCGAGCCCGGCCCTGTCCAAGTTAATATTCCCTACGTTTAAGTGGTTTAACCCTTCCTTCCTCAATTCTCCGGTGTCCGACCCGGCGGCTCCGACGCGTAATTGCCCTAATTGCGTCACCACCTACGCCACCGCCGGACCGCTTCAAGGCTCCACCCATCCGCCCGTCCTCCGGCGTGCGCTGCTCGCCGCCGCCGTCCATTTCTTTCCGGTGAGTATTTCTAGACCCTAATCTCTTTATTATGTTTTGTTTGTCATGAATTACTCTCCCCGTCCCCGATGAATTCATCCATTTTACTCTTGGCACTAGAACCAGGGAAGGGGGAATAAGTGAGGAGGACTAAAATACTCTTATAAATAAACAGAGACAAACTCAGATTTGTTTAGGGCCTGTAAAATGCTCGAGAGAGTTCTACTTCTAGGCTATCAGTGCTTTGTTAGATACATCCTCAGACTCTTTTGACAAGTCTGATGATTTAGAATCTCTCTCAAGGAGTTTAAAGGGGAGAAGCTCGAAAGCATTCTGGTACAACTCGAGACCGCCTCTCGAGATGGAGAAAATGTCAAAACGAACAGCTCACGACCGCATCAGTAACTTAGCGGAGCCCCTGCTGCATCACATCCTATCCTTCTTAGAAAGGAAAGATGTGGTGAAGACTAGTGCATTGTCAAAAAGATGGCGATATGTTTGGACCTCTGTTCCAACGCTCGAGTTTGTGTCTTATTCGCTTTCTTTTAGAGAGCACGAGTATGTGGCATGGGTTTATTGGAACCTTCTTCGTTACCAAAGTACTAATGTGGAGACGTTGAGAATCCATTTCTTCTACAGAACTTGTTTTGCCAAAGATGTTGATACTTGGATTTGGTTTGCCACAGAGAGAAATGTGCGAGATTTGGGGTTACGTTTGGGGAGCGGAGAATACAGTTTGCCTCAATCTCTGTATTCCTACTCTTCGTTGACAAATCTGAGTTTGTCTTCCTGCCAAGTGGCACCAAAAGGAGGCATTGGTTGGGAGTCACTTAGAAGTTTATCTCTGGATGGGGTGAAGTTGGATGAGGATACTATTGCAAAGTTGTTCCTTGGTTGTCCTCAGTTGGAGTTCTTGAACTTTCGAAACTTTAATGGCAAATTTCGTTTAGATATCAAATCGGATAGTTTGAGAGAATTGGTGATAGAAGAAGTTGATTTGCCAATGTCAACTGCATTAGAAATTTCAGCCCCTAAACTTCAATATTTGCATATTGTTGGTATGTGGTTGGAACAAGTTCGGTTAACTGATGTCCCGTCTCTTCTCAAAGCCAAACTCAAACTAATTGCTGAAAAGCACGGCCTTAACTGCATTAAGCTTCTGGAAAGCATGCATAACGTAACCAAACTTGAACTCGGACTTTGGGATTTTCAGGTAACCTTTTGTCTATTGACTACTATATTCCAATCTAAATTCATTAGTTATATTGATTGATGCGTTATTACTTTCACATTATTTCCGTGTTTGGATGCATACATTAGGCTATACTGCTTTCAGAAGTGAAACCTTCCACACCAATGTCCCCACCCTTTACGTGCCTGAAGATATCCGATTTCAATGCCGAAAGAGACATATTTGGCATTATAGCATTGCTAAGATGTTTACCAAACTTAGAGACTCTAATTGTGAATGATGTTGAGGTGATCATTACTGAACATCATCTTCAATTGGATTCTATGCATTCAGTTATTACCATATGCTCTTTTTGCTTTATGTATTAGAGTCTACATCCGAGCGAGATTTGTTCTGTACTTGCAGCAATCCTACTACTCACATTCCCATGAGAGTATTTTCGTATCGGGCATTAAAGTTCCCCTACCGTGCCTAAAGACTGTCGAGTTCCATGGGCTTAGGCGTCTGGAAGAGGTTGACAAGAACACCCTTAAGCTCACGGGACTGCTGCTTGACAATGCCGAGCATCTGGAGAGGGTTGTTATTGACGTGGGAGGACGTCAGATGGTCGTGGGGCCCACCCATGCGTCATTGCACGGTATTTCAAAAACTGCAAAGATCTGAAAATGCAAACATCTCATGGAGCTTATTTCCTTTAGGGTTTAAATCACATCTTTTGTACGACTCTGTTCGGGGTTTTGAATAATTATTTTAATTGGGGGTGTCCATCGGTCCAATCTTTTGCATTTGTTGTTTGGATAATCGAAGCTTTTGAGGCAGTCTATTCGCTTGTTTTTGTAACCGATGTTGGTAGCAGGCATTGAACGTCGTATGTGGAGGGTGGGTGGGGAGGGGTGTACTTTTTATTTTTATATCAATTTGTAAATCTCATCTAAAAAAAATGTAAATAAAATAATTTTAAGAAAGATGGCAATTTGCACATTTTCAAAATAAAAAGAGGGATATAAAGTATCTACGGAGTATCTATGAATCTCACTTTAACCTTTTGTCATTTTTAAAATTGATATGTGATCCCGGATTTATGCATTGCTTTTAGCTTTTCCTAAGAGGAAAAGGCCATCTTACTTCAACACTACACTCAATTTATTCAATAAAAGTGTCCAGTCTTTCATGTATCAATTTGAGAAGTCTAATCTTTGGTAAGGAATAGTCTTTCATATATCAATTTGAGACTCATATTTCCAACATCTCCTTTTTCATGTATATATTTTAAATGATGAGACTTTAAAATGAGATCTTCCATTAGAGATGAGGGTCTCAATTATTTATAATCCTACATGTAAAATTAAGTTTATAAAAGAGACTCTTACTTGTGACTCACTATTGGACATGCTCTTAGCTTACTTGATGCATGCACTTAATTTGTTCCTTAATAAAAGATAGATATGAGACAGAGGGATATAAAGTACTCCATTCACTATTTTCAATTATATAATTTTATTTTATTAAACTCTGCAGAGAATCAAACCCAAACTATTAATTTATAATCGATGGAGTATTTATAAATATTTTAAATTTTTTAATTGTAGAAATGAAAGAAGTACTTGGAGGGAAGAAGAAAATAAAAAGAAGAAGAAGAGATGCAACAAGGAAGAGAGAAGAGAGTGTTTGCCAATTCAGCGTTTTTAAGATTTTAACTTCTGCTTTAGGTGATACGGAGTAGTTGTTTTATTCTGTTTGTTATGTTAGTTTATGCTTTTTTCACTATTATTTTATACATAAAATACCATCATAAAATTTTTTTAATTTTAATTTTTGTGAAATGTACTTTATCACTCCCAAAAGTAATTAAAGAAACCATTTATGCGAAATAACATGAAAAGAAAATAGTGACCAATACTGTATAAACTACTCCTAGCCTTTCATAATGAAAAGTTTACACTATCTAACTATCTTTTCCTCTTTTTGTCGCAAAATAAAATTTATACATTCTCCTTTTTGAAAAATGGGTGTCTTGACAAGTTGGAATGGTGAATTTGGTCACTCCTTCAAACATTTAATTAAACTCTTTTCTAGAAAGTCTTGAGTTCAAGTCAACGTGGAAGTGAGAAAAAATATTTTCTGTCGATAAAATAAATCTCTAGTTCCCTAGATTACCATTTTGGTGAGATCAACTGCGGATGTCTCATTTTTTCCGCGGTAGTGTAGATGACCAATAATCAATATGAGGAATTGAACAATCGGTACGTGAAGACTCTTTGCGCGTAGAACGACAGAAATAATATACATACTGTATAAAAAAACCCGTGGAACAAAAGAGTTTAGATTTATTTTTTTAAGCCTTGTAGGAATAGCTAGGGTCTTATAGACTTAAGATTAGTCCGCCGCGAGTCAGAAATCTAATGTATAAAAAAACGAGTGTCGTAAAAACAACTTCTTTTTCGCTTTTCAATACAAAGAACAAGGAGTACGTATATAAAAAGAAAAACTTACTGTAGAAATTAAACCACCAAGTTTGACACTAAAAGTTTGACAACGAGCATTCTACATACAGACAATGTTACGTATACGGTATAGGTTTGTGAAACACAGTACTTTTGGTGTCAAATTTGGTGGTTAATTAATCAACTTTCTAACACCTCCATTATAAATATTCATCCACTGCTAGCTTGTTCATCCCTCATTATTCTAATTATTAACCAACGCTTAATTAGCATTTTTTCTCTCCATTAAATATATATTCATCCACGTAAGAAATTAATTAAATGAGTGATAGAATTCGAGATGATAGAAAAGATAAACAATACAAATGGGCAATTGCTGCTTTCTTTGGAGATGTATTAGGAGGGATGGTTGGGTTAGTCGCAGCAAATTTTAAACGCCACAAGGTACGTAAGTCCTCATCAATAATCCATTCTCCAATAATATAATCCATTGTTTTTTTCTTTGTTTCAAAATTTTATTTCTTCTTTCTTTTGATTAAAAAATCATTTTTAATCTTATAATAAATTTGTATCATATCTATTAGATCATATTTATTCACTAATAACTTCTTCATTGCATCATACTCCCTCTGTCCCAAAAAGATTTATACGTTTCAAAAAAATTGTGTCCCACAATCCCTTACCCATTTCTATTAAAAACCACTTTTACCCCTTACTTTTTCAAACCCTACCTATCACATCATACTTTTTTTCTAATAATCTACACATCACATCCTACTTTTACCCATCACATCAGGGGTATTTTTGGAAAATCAACACAAAATTATCCCTCTCTTAATTTCAACTTTAGTCAAAATGGGTAACACTTTATGGGACGGAGGGAGTACTTTTTTTACCCATCACGCCATGGATATTTTCGGAAAGAAAACAGAAAAATGTCTCTCCCTTAAACGCCATAAAGAAACAAAACATGAAAAAGTCGCATCACATCTACTTTTATCGATCACATCTAAGAATATTTATAGAAAGTCAACACCAAAATAAACTTGTCTTAAATCTCTTAAGAATCAAAATAAGAAGTGAAATTTGCACTAAATAGGACTAAAACATAATCTAAATAAGACTAAAAGATAATGACTTTCCTAATGTAGGACTTAAACTTTTTTATTCCGTAAATAAGACTTAATAATGACCTTGTGGGAGGAATAATGTCTAATCATGACGGACATTTACTTGAATAATGACTACTTAATAATGACCAAAAGTCTTATATTGAAAAATAAAAACATATGGTCTTATATTGAAAAAAGTCATTATGTTTTAGTTCTATTTAGGTAAATTACTTTGTTTTGTGAGAGGGAGGGAGTATATTTTAATTCATTCATGTGCGTGTATGCATGCATGTATGTATAGATACATAAGAGGATGATGCCAGAGTGCGTGGTAGCAGAGGCGGCAGCTCCGGGGAGCAGTTTTGGCGGCGGCGGCGTGGCGGAAGCTCAAGAAAAGTTTAACTGCTTTGCCGGGATTGGTTTCACGGTGGCGTTTTCGGCGGCCATTTTCATGAATGTGGTGGCTCATTGCTGCATTTCTTGTCTAGCAGGTTTTTGCAGAAATTGGAGTTGTGAAGGCAGAGATGACACCAGTGAAGACAGATACCAAAGGCGATGGGTGGTTGGCTTACACTGGACCACACTGTATGTCAATTAACACTATACGACCCTATTTTCCTGACTACTCCGTACTTTTTAAGCTCGATCATTTTCGATCTTTGATCTCGAACTAAACAGAAATTGTATGATATACGGTCTCCGTTTTTGAGTATTTGTCACTTTTTTGGTCAATTCTGTTCTACATTTAACCTTTAATTATATATATATATATATATATATATATATATATATATATATATATATATTGTACGTGCATGCTGCAGGGTGCTGGTGGTGATAGGAAGTGTTTTAATTGGGGCGGGGGGAGTGCCAAAATATGCGAAAGAGCCAAACATTTGCCTGCCTAATAATAATAACAACAACACTACGACGACGGTTATTTACGACGTCCCCCGGGAAACGCGCGTGTGTAGTGTGGCGTGGCTTCCGATCGCCGGAGGGATTACCGTCCTTATACACGGCATCGCCGGTTTATTCTACGCTCTCTATGCCCTTGGAATAGCGACTCCGCCCGGCTCCAGCAGGCGATAGTCTGAATGGTTCTGATCCCATGGGAAAGAATTCCGATACGACCTGATCTGGTCTGGTCTGCTGATCTGAATTTTGGTTATATTTAAATCTGTTTCTGATCTGATCTGATTCTAATAAAAATAAGTAATAAGTAACACAAATAAGTTGTGGTGCCGGCGCCGGCCGGTGCTATCCCCCCCCCTCTCTCTCATTACCGTTGGACTTCGGTTTCAATTCATCCTTTGTTTTTTTTTCTTTCGAAAATGTTAGATGCACCCTGAATTGTACCCCCAACTCGTAGATTAATAGATTATCCTTCTTTTCCCCACACATCTCCTGGCTTCTTTCCAAATTACTTCCTGTATGTTCTAAGATCATTGTTCGGCCTTAAGTATCTGTGTTTGTCTGTATTTATCTAGTGTACAAATAGGGTATCACATTTTGGTGTACCCCTAGGTTTATTCTCATTATTCACATAATAATTTAACTTCACATTAAGAATGAAGAAATGTGGGGTTGAATTTATTTAAAAGAAATACCACAACAATTTTTACATTAAACTTTAATGTTATATAAATGTGGGATGTGGCGGATTTAGTTAAAGTGGGAGGCAAAAGGAGAATTATCTATATAGTACTAAGGGCATAGTGTGTTTTCCAATGCAGTACTATATGTTTTAATTTTCTAGTATAGTATCATTGCTCAATGTTCACTGGACATTGTTCAAAGTAAATGTCCACCACCACTGAATATTGTTCAAAGTAAATTATTACCGCCACTAGACATTATTTAAATACCAGTATTTAAGAAATCAAAGGTTTTAGATATTACATTGAAAAAGGTAATACTACTCCGTATGTTTTAGTATTATTTAGTACTATGTTTTGCATCTAAATTTCTTCTTTTATATTTTTATGGGTAAAATTATCAATTCATTATAAATGGAGTCGATTTAGCCAAAATGGGGTGGACTCAAATGTTTGATGGTCTCAAATTTGTTTTTTTGAACCCTCAAATTTTATTAAAAAAGGATGGGGACCCCATCTCTGATGACCCGTCAGAAGTCAGAACTACCCGGATGATCACCTAAAAAGAGGTAAATTAAGTTTCAATCAATGATTAGCCGTAAATATTGGAGATTGCATTTGGTACTTGAATTGTTAAGGCTCTCCGCTTAGCATGGTTGGCTTTCAGCGTTGTCAGAAATCAAACTCAAATATTACTCCCTAGACACTCCTTACATTGCCAACTATGATACATTCAAATTTTATTAGCTCAGTGGCAGCTCTTAAGCATGCACACTACTTTTTGGAGATGGAGAAATTCTTACACCGATAACATGATACTATTTGTTAAAATATGGATGTAAATGGATAATGAACCCTCAAGATATATATATATATATATATATATATATATATATATATATATATATATATATATATATATA